CATCACCACTTATATAAACTTCACAGGGACAAAAAAAGCACAAAAACAATGCTGGTTTGGGATTAAATGGGGAAAATATGGACAGACGAGTTAATGTGTGTACTGGAATCACAAAATTGTCATTTTTCTAGATAAATAATAAGGAATTTGAACATTATGGGGAATGAATATTCTTTTTGGTTTAGGGAGATTAACATCTATAAGTCAAAAGAATGTTAGTCGATTATGAATTCCAGTGGCATTCACCAGACCTCCCACTCAGAGTTGAGCAACAAACTGGGAGAGAAGGCAAATATGTATTTTATGTTGTTGTTGTTGTCAATATAATGCAGCCCACCCACACGGTTTTGCCAATCCCCTCCTGATTTTAAAGTAGCTCTCTGGATTTTTAGAGGTGACAGGCCCATGGATTTTGTATCTGCCAGAGACAGAAACAGCCGACCGCGTCAATGACTGGACGGATCCCCCTGAGTGCGTCTAATAGCTTCCCCCCATGCGCCTCTCACTATATCCTACGCTGCTTTGCCATCACCAGATTCCCAAAGTCTCAAACGGACCCCGGTGCTGTTGAGAAAATGTACTTGAGCGACAAGAACAGGGAAATAATGTCCATCCCACCTCCCGTAAATAAAACGCACAAAAGCCCCACAGTCCGGCAGTGAGCTCGCCATCGGCATAGTTAACACCGGGCCAGCACCCAAAACAAGAGGCGCTCTGTGTGACGGCGCTTTGATACGGACCCCGCCGCGCACAGAAGGCCGGCCACAAACGCTGCAGAGAAGGGGGCTCTCATGGCCCAAGTGGAGGGGACAAACGCCGCCAAGATCGCACAACAGGTCAGAGGGAAGAAAGGAGAAAAGAACATGCAGCGAGCATAAGCAGTCACACGCTAGCTGGGGGGGTAATAAGCGGCCAATCGTGCACACGCAAACACACTTTTTATGGAGAGATTTTAGAGGGCCTTTTCGAGAAGCCTCCCCGTTTTATGCCAGAGGTCTCTTGCTTCAAAGCGACCAAGACGGGGGTGTAGAGGGAATACCGGGAAGCATATGGCAGCCGGCGTGATTCAATAACGGAGCCAACGGCAACTGTAAACGCTGATATTTGTCAAAGAGACAGCAGAAACCTCGTAGGACACCGCAGTCGCCCTGTGAGGCCCGTCGGCGAAGAACCGGAGCGAAACGAGCTATTAAGGCTCGCTTTGGGGTCGGAGGTAGAATGCGGGCCGGCGGCCACTACACAGGAGTTCCCTGGCACCAGCAGCATTCCCGCACATGTGCCCGGACCACAAAAATCTAAATATTTAAATGCAGAACGAGGCCGGGCGACTTAGATCTGGTAAAAGGCTGGGAACCAAGTCGTCAGGAGAAAAAGGTTGTTTTCGGCGGCGTTCTCCGACATCGTTTCCTCTAAACAACAACAAGCCTCGCATGCCGGCCTCCCCTGCTCATCCGGTCCAGCGTCCCCGTTGTGACCTCTCTGAATTATATATGAACATGATTAACTTGTTTTTCTTAAAGTGATGACATGGATTGAGCAATGCCGTTTACAAGCGGACACACACACGCACACACACACACACACAGCATGAAGCGTCCCACTCTCCCTGTGCTGTCATGTGACGTTGTCATGGTGAAGGGGTGCCCAGACATAACAGTGCGATTGTGCCGCTGAGGGCGAGGTGGGCCGCGATCAGAGAGACAGACTGTTCTCTGACTGTGACACTGCCAGCCCGCTGCCAACGCCTCTGCGCCCAGAGGACACGCCCCCTGGCAGCAGGTAGGGGCCCACTGTGGAGGTCGCCATGGAGACCAAAAAGTGACTTTTCCTTACGTTTTCCCACGTGTCATGTCCTGAGAACAAGGTCAGGTCATCTTAGAAAATGTTGATTCACTTTCTAACCATGAAAAATAATGTTCTATGCAAAACCATGCTGAAAAAATGCATCCATCTGTTGTGCTACGATTCGCCGTGGGGCAGCAACCATCATTTATTTGTCAAAAAATGGTTCGATCTAAATAAGACATATCTACAGGCTTGCAGCTTTGTCAGACTGTGCTTCTGTACATAGCTAAATGCTAACGCGTCTTAATTTAGCATGCTAACATTCCCTTTTTAACAGCGCCTTAAAACTTTCATGTTTAATGGCTATTTACATTCAGTTCATAAATCCAATGTGACCTCTGCATCTCCCCGTCCGCAGCACATCGGAAGCACAGAGCTGCTGTGAAGCCAGTTGGGGTTCTGCATCTTGCTCAAGAATACTCTGGCACAGGAAACGTAGCAGCCAAGCATCAAATCGCTTATCTTGTGGTCACCATTTGAGCCGGGGCAGACCCCAAAAGAAAGAAGTTATTCAGATCAAGGTTCTGGCACTCCGCTGGCGCTGTTGACAACAACTGGGACAATTGTTGCTGCAAATCACAGCAACCTCCATCAGAGGTCAACCTGACACCGAACATCAGCAAGTCAAGGGTTCATCCTTTCGGGATCATCCCGGTCTGAACAACACTGGATGTGAGATTGACAGAGAGATGTCTGAGGATATTTTTAGTTCGGCCATCTTACGTTACAGACACAAATATCAGCAGCAGACGTCACCGGAAACATCGAGGCAGAAGATCCTTATACTCAAAAAAAAAATGTTTACAATAACAATAAATGCATTCATGAATGTGACACTGTGTTTGTCTCATGTGGAAAACAAAGCACACGCAATCATTGAGAAAAACGAAGGTACGGCGAATTTGAACAATGACCTGGAACCAAGAGGTTCTCAGAAAGCAAACCCATGCCGGCGCACCGCGAGTACAGAGAAAGCACAACTGGTCCGACTCCGCTGTCTGAGTGTTGAACATGAAAACATTCGTTACACAACGTGCACATACCTCCCATGACTTCCAGAAACACGAGATTAAGCCGCCAGACCGGAGTGCCGTTTGAAATGTGCACCGACTCGCCGTGTCTGTTGCGAAGCGTTTGGGATTCAGCAATAAAAAAAGGGCAGAGAGTGTTTGACGGTGGGAGCTGCGGCGGCACCTACAATTTAGTGTGAATCACTCTGCCTCCAGAGCTTTTTTTTCCGGAAGGATTAGACTCACAAAAGGACAGGTCAAAGTACAGTCAAAATAGGAATGCAATCTGTGTCTTTCTGTGAACCTACCACATGCTAACCACTTTGAAAAGGGGATTTTTGTCTCTTTTAAAGTTGATTATCATACTATGATTACTGATTATGTATGTATGTAAAGGCTTTACATACATACATAATCATACATACATAATGTATTATTTCAGGAGTTCTGCGAATGCCGCGTCGGGAGGCGAGCGAAGGGCGTCGAGGAGCGGCAAAATAAAAATATTCACGCACAACTGAGAAGGTTTCCAAACAGTGGACAGGGAGCGGCCGGCGGCGTGGTCCTTATCGTAGGAGGCGGTAGACAAAAAGCCACGGAAACGTCCGCTCACCTGGAGCCCAAAAATAGGGGATGTCATTAATCGGCTATCTTATCACAATGCGGTGTCCTATCTCTCTTATAACCTTCATGTCTGGCCAAGTTACGGCAATCAGAGGATGCGGTTCTTTCTCAACTTTACGAGCCTTTGCTGTGTTTATGGAAAAAAAGCGCTTTCATGAGAGTACTGGGAGGGAAAACCCGAGAGGTTGTGGCATACCCGCGGCATTCTTCTTGCTCTTTCTTATCGCAATAAGAAGATTAATAATTAACTCCAGTGCTATGTGCTTCAACCGCCTATGTGGGCCATAGGATAAGACGGGTTTAATGTTGGGGAGGGAGAACCTGGGAAATATGAAAAGGAAAGAAGGGAATGGGACACGTTGAATATGAAGACTGCGGGAAAATAGAGTAAGATCCACATTCCAGTAGTGATATTTACTCAAGTGCAGTACTAGGTACAAACCTGCTGTATGGTACTTGTACTTTACATAACCGGTATTTCCGTGTCATGCTTCTTTAAACTTTTGCTGTTACGTTTTAGGGTTTACTTTTCACTGCACTACATGCATTTGACAGCATGCCTACTTACTTTAAGAACATTAAGACTAAACACAAACATATATATTTGTTGGTCTTCCTTTTTAACTGAGAGTAGAGTTTCGAGCCGCAGTAAATGAGCTACGACGGACGCATTACTGCATAGTAATAACCTAATAATGACATATGTAAGAGCAGCTCTTCGGGCATTTTTTAGGAATCGATGGTAACTTCAATACACATTTTGCAGGGTGTGCCCCCCCCCAGCCAACCCGGCGGACCACGTCCCAATGTTGGTGAGTTCTCTTGTCGACCCTTTTTTCTCCACCGTGGTCGACAAAGGGAGAAACCGCCTGTCCGGCTTCTTACGCCGCAGGTAGCGATCTGCAGGTGCGCATGTCAATGTCCTATTGTCCCACTGAAAACAGAACAGCGTGGGAGACAGCGGGACAGATAAAGGGCCGCGGACCCTTCGGGACATGCGAGGAGGGGGTAGGCGAGGCCCAACTTCTTCTTTACTTTTGGGCAACGGGGCGGCAGGGGCAGCGCGCATGCGCAGTGTCTTCGACCCGCCTCGTCAAAATCTGCTCCTCTGGAGAGAAATGAACTCGCGTGATTAACAGCGATTCTGACGCTCGTGCTCGTCGTCCCCCCACACGCGTATCGTCCCACTCTGCTTCAGACCGGTGGACGCGGCGGTGCGTCCATAGCGGCGCGTGCCGTGCTGCTCTACCGCGAACACGTGCAGCGGAGCTCCGGTCGCTCGTTTTAGTTTCACCGGCGGCGACGACGTCTCGAGCACGCGGACGCGACGGCGCAGTCGCGTGTGGCGACGCAACGACGGCCGCGGTTCGCGGAGCAGCGGGGCTCGCGCGCACCAGGCCCCGCTGCTCACGCGCAGACACGCTCACCACAAAGAAATGCCCGAGCAAAGTAGCTAAACAAGGGGGAGGGGGCGGCGGTTGTGTCTTTTTTTTTTTTTTTTGCTAGACAAAATCTACTTACCGGCGAAATCGGACACCGCAAAGGGGGGAACGCGTCGTTCCTCCACGCCTCTATCGCCGCCCGTGAGTCTTCCCAGAGCCGCTCTCCGCGGGTCGCGTCGAAAATGTCACAGATTCCAGCAGTGGCTGCCGCCGCCCCCCCCCGCCCGCCCCCAACCGACCAACCCAACCCCGCCGTCCGACCCCCAACAGCAGCAGACCGCTACCGCCCGGAATGGAGAGGCTGTCCTCGACTCACGCGACCATGTTGCCCTGAACGTCGCCTGCTGCTCTCATCCGGGCGCTTCGGGATCGAGCCGCCGTCTCAGCACTGCTCGGGATGACAGCGAGAGGGATGAGGGAGGGAGGGAGGGAGGGGGAGTAGCGTGAGACGGGGAAGGAGAGCGCGCGAGGGGAGGGGTGGTGGTCAATCTGTTGAGGGCATGGTGACAGGGGGGGGTAAGACGCTCAACGCCATTTAGGCTGATGTTACAAGATGCCCCTCATTGAACAGATCCAGCCGCATTCAGCTCAAACCCTCCGCGCGCCGCCGCCGTGTCCTCTGACAGCGGGATTAATGCTCACTCCGAGCGGCAGAGGCGAACTCTGTTGTCACGCCGTCTGTGGATCTCGACGTTGTTCGTCTCTCCGTCGGTGCTTAATGCGGCGTCCGTGTGAACATCACCGGGTCGATAGAAATGTTTTAATCTATCGAGAATATCGCCAGGTGTTACTGCCGCGGCCACGTGCGCGAGGCACACACGTGTTACGTAACCGGGCCAGCCAGTCAACACCGGAAGGAGGAGGAGGGGGGGGGTCAAACCAGACCAACCGTGTGATGAAAACATACATCTCTTTAGAGTTATCTTACATTTACCAAAAGTCAGATAATGCCTCGTTTGAATATTTCATCAAGAATATAACATAATAAATATTGCGGTAATGTTTTTGATCTTGTAGAAGGATGGGATGTGTTATTGTATTTTAGGAAATATATCTTTAAAGGCACCTTTTTCTCAAAATCTCCACCTAAAGTTCTGGTTTCACTCTTATTCTGTGAGGTGTGATTTGTCATGAATAATTTATAAACTAAGTTATTATACATTTTATTTTCTAATAACATTGCAAAACCTATTGCGGTGATACAAAGAGCGATCCAACATTCTCTTCTAAACCGCAACAAAATAATTCAAGCCGTTGGAAACAGGCGTCTACCGAAATAATCATGTATGAAAAATAACATTTAAAAATAATATACTACACCTTATTCACCCGGAGTGTCTCCTCTTTGAGTAAATTGAATAATTAACCAACACGCGGCCACCCTGCGCTCCAATTCTCACCGTAAATGAAACAGCCTTGAGTTTGATGAATGAAGGATCCTCACCGCATGTCAGGATTCCTGCCGAGATCTGAACAATTTTTTCCCTTTTGACTTCTATAAATGCCTGTTGAGACACGACTGCAGCCTTCACCCGGTGTTCGGGTGGAGCAACTGACTTTCATTGACTCTCTGGACAGATTCCCACCCACGCCTATCCGGGCCGTACTCATTTCAATTGTTGTTATTCCATGTGGGACCAAGACTTTGTCGACCTACACACAAGCCCAAAGAGACTCTGACAGCCATGATAACATAATAATCTTAAGACTTCAGCTGACACCGGGGCTGCTGGAAAGTAAAAGTCCTGCGTTCAAGCTACACACGTACACATGGATCAGAGACAAAGTTATACCTATAAAATCAGATTATTTTTGCATGTTTTCAACGTATAAGAACCACAAAATCAGTCTATCAGAGAGCTGCTCCCTCCCCATCAGACATGAAAAGTCAACCTTGATGTATTTGTCACTTAACTTCATTAACTGCACCTCCATGGTTACACACAAGCAACTATGTTTTCCATGACCTTTCCATTTTGTTTTGTTGCCTAAAGCTAACTGATCTGTTTGCTGGTACAACAGCAGTTGATTTTAAAGAGATGGTATGCACCTAAAGAGAGGACAGTTGACGTGATTTTTACGTGAAAAACAAGGGGAATTTGTAGTAATTGTACAAGGAAGAAGCAATGACATGAGTAGGAACTGGAGGGATGCAAATGACTCCATTTACTTCGGGGTAGTTCAACCTAATAGCATATCTTACTATGTGTGTTCACATAGTGTTCACCCAGAGTGGGTTCAAACCTGGAAAAGACCAAAGCCAAAAATGAGAAAGACTGGCTCTTGGTTACAGCCTGTTGGATGAAATTATGATTAAAGGTATCGGGGAAGAAAAGAAGATCTGTCAAATATTTGAAATGGTTTAACGGATGTTTCTCGGGCCTCTTGTCTGTGAACCTCTCATCTAAGTCATCTTTCAGAATCAAACAAACCTTTACGCAAATTGACCTGCTTCCCAGTCAGAGGCGTCTAGATGTAATAAACAGTATATGAATGTAGATTTTTTTCTTCCATCAGACCAAACACTGAAAGGCTTGCCATCTTGCTCCATCAGGCACAGTAACACAACAAATATCAGAGCTTCATCCGTTCACAGGAAGTTGATCTTTTTTTTACGAGTCTTCTCATGCTGTGGTGATTCCTGGGTGGCAACGGGACTATTTACTGCACAGTCTGTGTTACCATAACAAACAATTGGATGTCAAAAATCTAAAATATTGTTTTGCGGCGGGTTGCACGCAAGAAATCTTCTCATTGACAGTTAAATGTACCTTTTTTTGTTGGAGTGATTCAATGAGCCTATGCATTGGCAAACAGTATGTAAAAGCCATTAATTAGGTAAAGTGCAGCTTGGCTTTTGTCCCCCAGGATAATGAGGACGTTCTGCATTGGTCTCATGTTCGGGCTGGTCTGGTTGGGCGCGGTGTTTACACCATTTTCTGAATGCACTGCTCAAACAAAACCATTATTCTCAACTTGTCATGTTGATAAAATCATAAACTTGCTTTTACGTCAATTTTGGGAATGATGTTGACATGAGCGTGTTTTTACAGGTGTGCGTCGCAAGCCTCACGAACGCATCTGTATTCTTCCTTTAATTCCACTTTTCTGATTCTTTTTTTAATGCTCTCGGTGCTCTTTCTTGAGCGTTATGCTGCCCTCTAACACGTTGACCATGTCCTTACTCCAACGGTTACTCCGGAAACGTATAGCTGGTTTGTGTTTGCCGGCTCACACACCATGCACAGCTTGTGTTCGGTTAACACGGACCACGCGGGAGTGTAGATGTAGAATACATGTGGGTTATCGTGTGTAAAACAGTATCTGATGAGTGATGATTTATGTATAGGGTTGGTTTTCAGACATTTATGTAACAGCTTTTCTTACCCCATGTGAGAAAATCACATCCTCCTGCAGGTGAGCCCACTGTTGTCAACAACTTAAAATGGGAATTTCCTGAGTGATGTTTTTTTTAATCCATGCTGCAAACCCTCCTGTCTTCAGCCCGCCTTCACTGGTTACATGTAAATGGCAAAATACTGTAGTCTTTATTGGCCATCAGAAAAAGTCAATTCTAGCCATTGTTGTGTGCTCTGTGCACCAAACCCAGGCATCCAACAAGCACCGATTTCTAAATGGTGCGTAATTCGGTATTCGTAATCAATTTTCCTGATCTTTCCGGTACATCAGCAAGCTTTGGGCCATAATTCCGCGCCCTTTCCCTTTATTCCCACAGCCAACCCACAGTCAGATATTTAATTTACATGTTATTTGTGCATTTTATTCCTCTAATGCTCATTCTTGCATTATGGGATTATAAAGCCTTTAGAATGGACCTTACACAATCTAGTTCACGAAAATGTGCTGCCATCTTGTGGAAAAAAACACGACTGACACTGACTGATTTTAATTTGTGTTCATCCAGCATAATGTTTAAATGGCCAAATTTGTATTTGCTCTTAAATCGACGGCTACAAAATATAAACCCACGTGAGGATCCAGTCTAAGTGTCACTCATAACATACCATAATTAATATGATAGATCATTATTAATACTAATTCCCCAATACAAACCAAGGGAATTGATCATAGCAGACTGTATGTTTAATCGTGTAATTCCTCTACAAACCTACTTAATTATCATTCTCTGTCACCATTTCTGGAATACAATCAAAGTCGCACGTTATGGTTTTAGGACCAAATCACTGAGCTCTGGGTAACTACTCCTGACCTTTCACCTTGTTAATGCCGACATTAACCTGCGTCTTTTCTCACCACATCTGCTTTGCTTTACGGCACAAAATGGTACATTCACCTGAGTTCATCAACCTCACTTTATTTAGCGTGAAATGAAAAAAAATGTTTGTTTGTTTTTAAAAAATATATATTTCCCCGATATTTCGTTAATGTGCATCACGGTGGCTTGAAACTCTCCCGTGAATTGTGGTTCACGTGATTTGCATCGCAAACGCTCGGCGGTTCGAACCGTCGTTCATCAGCACGCACGCACGTACGCACGCGCTCACGCGCACGCACAAACATGGCGGCCTCTGTTTCACCGCTACGCTCCTCCTTCAGGATGTGCAGCCCGTTCCCGTTCCCCCATCACTGCAGCCGGGCCGGGCCGCGGGCGCGCAGGAAGGAGGGTCAGCGGAGACACGTCCACCAGTCCGCCGCGAGGTGAGTCTGCTCCTTCCGGTCGGGGGTCCGTGTCGGGGGTGAACGCCGCCGCCGCCGCCGCCGCTCCGTTGTCCTTCTTCCGGTCGGGGGGGTCGGTGTCTCCTGGGGGGGGGGAAGGTTCACCGTCCGCGGTAGCGAGGGTGGGTTTAACCGACGGACGGCTCGGTTTTTTCGCATAACTCGCCGCGGTTCCTCCAGTTGGACGGCGAGCGTCCGCCGAGCCGCTCAATGTGAATTGCCGTTGCTAATAATAACCGTGGGCGTAAAAATAACGGAAAGTGAATGAAGTCATCACTAACTTAACGTCGCTGCTCCAGCTACTATCACCATTTGTTCCTCTATGCCTCCTCCCCTCGTCTCCTTCTCATCCTTCCTTCCCCGTCTCCTTCTTCTTCCCCATCTTTTTACTTAGAAATCTGCAACTAAACTGTAACAGACTGTATAAGAGCGGGTGATTAGCATTGCTGCCAATTCCACGTAAATTTACTTCATATAAATAAGAAACTACCCGTAATACTCCATTGGTATCATACATTTGCATTCATTTTGACTGGTTCGTCGACATCGTTTCGGCTTTATTTGAAGTGATTTGTTGGCTCTACGTCTGCTTCCCCTCCCGCACCTCTCCAGGCACGCCGCCGTGGTCATTTCAGGGGCCGAGTTGGCTCGACAGCTCCACAGAGAAATCCAGCGTGATGTGGAAGAGCTCGTAGCTCAGGGCAACATGAGACCCCACCTGGGCGTGGTCCTGGTGGGGGACCACCCGGCCAGTCGCACCTACGTGAAGAACAAGACCCGGGCCGCCAGCATCCTGGGTCAGATACGAGCGCTCGCGGCGCCTAGCTCCGCCCTAAAAGCACCTCACATAGGCACGCATGGATAAACACGCGCTCACGAGCAGGGTCACGCGTGGGCTGACTTGGCGCGCACGTGGCCTCGTTCTGGGCGCGCGTTGGTGACTCAAGCGCTCTCTCCAGGTATCTCCAGCGACACGGTGGTGCGGCCGAGCTCGGTGTCCCAGAAGGAGCTGCTGGAGCTGATCGACAAGATGAACCGCGACTGGAGGGTCAGCGGCCTGCTGGTGCAGCTGCCGCTTCCCGGTAAACATCGGACATCCAGCGGCTAACAAACCCGCCCGCTTTGCTCGGCCGTGACGCCTTTTCATTGTTGCCTTTGAGCGTTCACAACATGAACGATGGCTCCGGGGTCAGTGGGCCGGAATTCGAGGCAGCTAAATGGAATTTGGCCATCGCTAGTTCCGTTAATTACAGATGTGCGTTTCCCACTGAGTTCCAAATCGCACGCTTGTCCTTGTATTTGGTGAGCGGTGCACACTGCAGCCGGCCACACAGAGTGAGGCTCGTTGGTGTCTTTGACATACCTGCTTTAACATGCTACGCGTTGGGATTCATGCAAGTACTTACTAGTATGGTAATATAAGTAGTGGAACGCACAGCTGTTGTTTTTGAACAGCTGCTTTCAACCACTGGCCCGGGGCCCACAGCCGAGCTACTGCCAAAAGCTAAAGGATATTTTAAATTACCGTTAAATGAGAATGTGGCCGTCGTGTGACGTTGCAGCCGACCGTTGACCGTCACGTTCCATCGTCGTCTTCTTCAGAGCACATCAACGAGCGGGCGGTGTGTAACGCCATCGCGCCGGAGAAGGACGTGGACGGCTTCCACATCGTGAACATCGGTAAGCTGTGTCTGGACCAGAGGTCCATGGTGCCCGCCACACCTGCAGCAGTCTGGGAGATCATCAAAAGAGCAGGTAAGACCCCACAGGGACCTCTGCAGCCGCGTGACTCATGACCACGTTCTACACTGTGTTTTGGATTTTACGAACATGTTTCGTTGCAAACTAAGGGTGACATTGAGGTTCAATCAAAGTTTCTTCTTTTGTATTACCTCGTGCTGTTATTCGTTTTTTAAATTTAATTTAATCTTTAGTTTCGACAGAATTTGAGAGATGCACATTGAGTAAATTACTTAACCGTCTGTTTGGGTTATTTTGTTAGTTTGTTTTCCATAATTTACTGAACAAACATGAGCACGTCTGTTGTTGTTTGAGCTATAATATTTTTGGAAGGTTTCCTGCCTTTTCGTGTCCAGCCCACGAGGTGGCGCCTTACAATCATTTTTCCAAAGATATTATACATGCTGTATAGATATTGCATTTCCAGTGTGTAAGTAAAACAAGTGGATCAGAATTGAGAAACCCTATTTAATAACACAAGAAAAATTAAGTTGTCTAAGCAGGCTGGGGGGCTTCGGCGTTCAAAGTGCTAAACCGTGCAGCCACCGAGTGGGAAAGTTTAATGCACAAAAGTGGGGCCGAGGGGTCCCCCGAGAGCACGAGCAAGGGTCCTCGACCATGGAGGTTTTTGTTTTTGTTTTGTTTGTGGCGAAGTGTTTGTATTCCCAATGAGTGCCCTCAACTCTATGTATGAGCGAGAGACCCTGAGCACGTTTTCTTTTGCCCCCCCCCCGTGTCTGCGTGGGTTCTCTCCGGGTTCCTCCGACCTGCTCTGGGGATCAGGTTGATTGGTGACTCTAAATTGCCTGTAGTTGTGTGAATGGCTGTTTGTCTGTGTACCCCGTCTCTCGCCCGAAGTTGGCGACCCTGTATGAAGGACAAGCGGTTTGAAGATGGCTGGATGGAAGCAACAGGAGAGGCCTTTTTTGTGGTTGCTGTCATTGTGACTGTATAAAGTTGAACGTGCATCACATTCAGACGTGAGCTCACACAGTTTGTTTGTTTTTTGCGGCGTGTTGGTCAACTGACGAAGACTAACCGGCGTTCTCATATGGAATACACTCTGAAATATTGGTCTAATAAGTGCATTTAACTCATCCTACTATCAATCACTCTAATGACGACTCTCTCTCTCTCTCTCTCTCTCTGATGTCGTTGATGATCAGCATTTAGAGAATGTGTTTGCTCCTTGGACACACAGATTTTTTCATTTCCCAAGTGCATGATTCACTCAGAATATTTCTTCCAAAATGTGTTGCAGGCATTGAGACGGTGGGGAAGAATGTAGTGGTCGCCGGCCGCTCCAAAAATGTTGGAATGCCCATCGCAATGCTGCTGCACACCGATCGCAAGCATGAGCGTCCCGGGGGTAAGTGTGCGTGTGCGTGTGTGTGTGTGTGTGTGTGTGTGTGTGTGTGTGCGCATAGGTGTGTCAGAATTGCGTTTTGATTTGGGTGCTGATATTAGTACGCATGTGCTATTGCCCCATTTTGGCGACTCCTCACCTTTCTTTAATCAAACATTAAATGCTGATGCACGTCATGGCGGAAGTGTTCCAAGACGGGAAACGGGAACGGAGCAAACAGGGCGAGACTTTAGTGCAGGCGGATCTGCTGTCCTTATATGGGCGCAGGAAGAAGCAGAGAGGATTTGGTTGGCCAAGTGTGGCCCTGCTAGAGGTCAGGGCCAACAAAATGTGCAATATCGGATGTCATAGGTGGCGTTCTAAGCTTTCAGGGTAGGGCGACTGTGGGTGAGTGGGGAGCACGGTCGTCCTCCAATCAGAGGGTTGTGGGTTCGATCCCAGGCCCGGCTAACCTGCATGTCGTTGTGTCCTTGGGCAAGGCACTTAACCCAACATTGCTCCTGTAGCTGCGTCTACAGTGTATGAATGGTAGTTACTGATGGCAGGTGTCACTGTGTGTGGTTCTCCTGTCATCAGTGTATGAATGGGTGTGAATGGGTGAATGATGTCATGTAGTGTTAAAGCGCTTTGAGTGGTTGGAAGACTAGAAAAGCGCTATACAAGTACAGACCATTTACCATTACTCGTCGGGTAGTTGTCTTAACGGGAGACGAGACATTTCACATTCTTATTCTGTTTCTTAAATATAAGACTCTGAACTATCAGCGATCCACGTCCATCTCTGAGAGAAGTGGCTCCCCACACATGCCGCATCACTTTGCGTCATTCTTTTCCGGTCACCAAATGTGCTTGGGTGTGTAAAGCGTCTGATCCACGCCGCTCTAACCGGCACAGCGTGCTTTAAATTTGGGGACGGAGACGGAAGAGGATGAGGTGGACTCTATAGGAGTGCAACACGGACGGGCAACCCCTTTTAAAATGCGAAGCCAACGCAGAAAACCTTCACATGGCCTCCTCTCTCCTGGCCAGCAGGGGCGGCTGCTGAGGTTGTAAAATAAAGTTGGATTCATGGGTGATTTTTCCACAACTCTCTCCTCTCCTGTCTTGATTTATCACCTCAGTACACATTCAACAAACTCAATCTCCCTATTTCCAAGTGTTCAGTACAGCTTGCAAGCAAATTGTGGTCCACTTACCACTATGCAGGGAATGCCTTAGGGCGGGGCTTCCTTGTGATTGACATGTTGCTACCCTATCAGATCTGTTCACGGTGTCACTCCTCCACAGTCCAAATATGGTAGGTTTCAGCCCATGTTTAAACTTCCGGAACCTTGCTCTGATATTTTAGTAGTGGGTCCTAAAATAGTACTAGTTAGTAGTAGTAAAAACCATTCTCGTTGATTTAAAAAAATAAATAAATAAAAGAAACCTTTGACCGTTAAATTTAATAAACTCGTTCACACCTTTTGATTAAGTTGCACGGCCACTGCCGTGCAAATAATATTTGCATTTCACATCAGACTGTATTTTCATTGCTTAAAACCAGCAACTGTGGCAACTAAACTGTACCAAACACCAATATACAGCGGGTGGTGGTGGGGGGGAAATAACTAACTAAATTGCGCGTTTTCATGAGCTCATTTCCTTCAGTTCTTTGGCAGTTCTTTGTCTTCTCCCTCCCACAGAGACACACGTGTCGTAAGGAATGCGTCCTCCCCGGAGGTGCGATGCGCTTCGACTTGCCTCTCCTTTGCGTTCCTTCCTCTTATCACTGCGGATGACCCTCTGATCCACCCCCCCACATTCCAGGTCTCAGATCAGTTGTGATGGTGCGGGATGTGGCCCCACATTGTCAGATAGAGATCAGGATCCCTGTCTGGAGTCATTACTGACTGCCCGATGTCGTCATGGCCGCAGGGGCTTCATCCGGTCCGCGGAGTGACGGATTTATTTGTACACACTGCCACTGTACCACTGAAACTCAACACAATGGAGGTGAATGGTGTTACAAATTACACCCCCCCAAAAAAGCCGTTTGCGTCTAGTTTTCCAAACTGCTCCCGTCTACTGGCACGCTTTGATCAATCTGTGTGACCTCATGAATCACAAAGTAAAACCAATGACAGTCTAACCTCTTTTTTTTTATTACTTTCCCTTACTCGCGCAGGTAATGAATGACAAAGTTATGGAGGTTTTATGTTGTCCACATTTGATATTCATCAATTTTTTCTTCCATACCTATGAAAAACCTTTTTGTTGTCTATTGAAATATTCCTTTTCTTTGTCATCTATATTCCTGCGGCTTTACACACAGCGTCTCTGATGTCCTTGGTTAGCATAAGCGTCAGAGGGATAGTAAGTTGTCCCAATGAGATCTATCCAGGTTGTGAAGGGCAACGATGCAGAAACACTGGTGTCCCCTCAGGTGACGCCACGGTGACCATCGCCCACAGATGCACCCCCAGGGAGCAGCTGAAGGAGCTGACCAGCCTGGCCGACATCATCATTGCAGCTGCAGGTAGTGCCACCATTATGATACACGATGAGAACCGATCGCGCACAGAACGGACTTTCTAAGTTTATTCAACAACACCAACTAGAGTTGCATGTTGTGAGTGGATGATTTCCCTTAAAGCAGCGGTCTCGAACTCAATTCAGATGCGTCATACCTCGACCGAACGCGGACCAGACCATTACGTCGCTTTATGTGCGTTCCTGGACCCGTGCTCATTGTACCTGCGCTGTCGTATGTACTTATCGCTCCGGCACCTTGTGATTTACAAGTGAAGCACTGGATACATCAGGACCTGCGTGAAAGAGGGCGGAAAACTATGAACATCCAAAGCCACTCTTTTCTCTCACACACACACACACTCGCGGGCCGACATTAAACTTTCATATTAAGGCGGGGGCCACAAAATATCGTCCCGTCGTTAACGTGTTGTACTTGTCAATTCCCTCTTCCAGTCGCATGGAATTGTTATAATGATTCTGCTCGAACCAGCTCTGGAATCTGTTTCATAATGTTGGAAGTTCCGTGGAACGGCCTGGTAACGCAACCCGGAGGTTGTGAAAGGGCTCACCAGCCCTTCCTTACCGGAAACGATCTTTGTCAAAATGGCAATAATCAACCCTTAAAAGTTGCAGGATGTTCACTTTCATACAACTGCAGAACAAAAAGGCGATCTTCTGCAGAAGAGCAGGGCCGGAGCCTCTGTCACTCTCTAAGTAACCGTGAAAGCCCGAGCAGTCCTCGCTTTGTGATCCATAGGACACTTCCTGATGACTAAAAGCAGTTTTTTGGGAAGGGCACCTCCAACTGTCATTGTGTGATTTCTCAATATAGGGAATCTCACGTTGCTTCCGGCCAAACAACTGTCCAAAAGGCTTTTCCAGGCCGCGTGGCGTCACCATGCACATGGGGTCAATGTTTCAACCCAAGTGGCTTCTGTCGGGGTTTTGGAAAGTTGCCATTAACTGTTGCTTGACTCAGACTTAATCCCATTGTTGAGGAGCGCCAATTGCAGTCTGGCTGGTTCAAATTGACAAAATTTACAGCTCTCTGGCAGCCGGCCTCCTTCAAAAACAAATACACAATGCTTTGAATTATTCGGTTAGCCGAGTTATCGTCTCCTTTTTTGGTCTGCCGGCTTTAACGCCTGGGGCGAGGCTAACCTGTGATTACAAACCAGTGTCAAAGGTACCTTGGTACTTTGATCAACTGTAGCTTCGGGAACATGCAGTAAAACACACAAGAAGGCGCCACTTCCCAATCTATTTTTAAAATCCTAATTGTTTCAAATTGTGTTTCGCTTACGAGGTGCATACTAAATGAATTGGTGTTGAACCAGATGAGAAATCTATGACTAAGGGTGATCTTTTGTGCTCCTGCTTCCGGTGGCCAGGGGTCCCCGGGCTGATCACAGCAGACATGGTGAAAGAGGGCGCGGTGGTCATCGACGTCGGCATAAACCGCATCCAGGACCCGAACACGGGGAAACTGCGGCTCATCGGCGACGTGGACTTTGATGGTGAATAATCCAAAACGTTCACCCGCTCTTCTTCAGACAGGAAAAAAAAAAAGGTGTAGATGGTGAAGATGCCTCGCACCAATCAGTCGAGATTTAGTTTATATCCATGTCTGCCCGAAATGTCCCCTCTTCATCATTTCATCCTCTTAGACACTAAACAGTAGAACTAGTACATAGGCATGTTTTATTATATTATAATCTCAACCCCGAGAGGAAGACAGTCCCTCAAGCTCTTCCTCAGATATCAAGCTCAGATATGCAAGAATGGAATGAATTTAGCAGAAAATAATTAGTTTGATGTCAATTTGTTGGGCTTGTTGCAGGAGTGAAGGAGAAGGCCGCTTTCATCACGCCGGTTCCCGGAGGCGTGGGGCCGATGACCGTCGCCATGCTGATGAAGAACACTGTGACCGCGGCCAGAAACGCACTGATGCATTAAACACACACACGTTTGTGTGTGTGTGCGTGCACACACACACAAACATGTGTATCAGTTTGTTTAGTTTTACACACATTTTATCAGACATATTTTTATTTTTAAAAACCACATGTTCAAAACTTCCAAGTTCCAACTACATGCTGGGAAACTTACTTGATACGTACTTCGTTTAAACCTCGAATGTTATTATTTATGGATTTAATTTATTGCTTTCACTTTTTAAGAATTTAGATTCATATTTTTTCTACTGTTGTTTTGGTTGAACATTCCAGATGCTCTGGAAAAGGAATATTAAATGATAAATAATGCCGTGCCAGTAGTACGATCTCTTTTTGCCCCTCATTTACAGATTGTTCACATTCATTTTGTCTTTATTAGACAGTCGCTTATTCGTATCATATTGTACAACTCGATTGAATTTACTGACTTTACTACACGGTATTAATGGCGTGTTATAATTAACGCTGCGTAGTACGAACTACTGAATGACAATTAACAAAGTTCAAAAAATCAGAGCTCATGAACAGTTTACGGTGGTGCTGAGATTTGAAAAAAACATGGCAACCATCAGGAAACTCCTTCCTTTTCTCTGAATGTATGCCCTAAACAGGCTTCCACTTGCTAAACAACGCTTCTCTCTTCTCGATGCATTCACCTGTTAGAAAAGAAATGTCATTATTACCCCATTCTGAAGAATCTGAATCTTTCACAACACCTGCAACCTCTAATGTAGCAACCTCGACTGCCAAATCAGCATTTTAGTGAGACTACCTGTGCCAAATTATTGCGTGGGTTCAAATTTAACTCCAAAGAAATAAAGCAATGGTAAAGACCCTCTGGGCACCGCTGTACCCGACCCCCATCATTAGACCGGCACAGACTTTGTCTCTGCATGCAGAGGAAAAAAAGGAAAACGTTTCCTAATTCAAGGAAAGAAAAAGTAGGAAAAAAAAAATCGCTGCTTCTTTGACGGGCAACTTGAGTGGCTGTGAGCTCGGTATATAAATCCAGCACAAGTTTGTTGGTCTCACAGAAGCGAGTTGCGCAGAGAACGTGGAGACACCCCACCGGAAGAAGACGCCATGTTGACACACAGACACAACGGTAAGCTTCGATTCTGCGCTTGGCTGAAATAGCCGAAACCTGCTGGCTCATAGAAAAACTTATATTGTGGTGTTTTGGTGATGCAGCACTTTCAATAAAAGCCATTCGGGAAATACTGTTGATTGAAAATGAATATATATATATATATGTATATATATAATGTATTTGTAAAATAAAGAGTCTTATTTGTGTTCCAGCCCTCCTCTCAGCAATGGCTGCACTGCTCCTCCTGACCACAACGGGACAATCTGCCGGGCTGAGCGACCAGCTGCAGACCACAGGAGGTCCCGACCCGTTGACCTCACGTCTGACCACACAGCTCACCAACAGTGAGTCAGCTGTGGCCATTTTCATCTTTACAGGTTCCATCATTGATTTGGTCTATGATTACAGAGCTTTGATTCAGTATTTATATTATTTCAAAGGTTTGATTAAACATTTGTCATTGTAAATGAGGGGCACAACGGTGCTGCAGAGCCTCTTCTCGGGTGTTTATTTCCTGGTTCTCCGGCTCCATCCTCGCATGTATAGGTCACATGCATGTTCGCTTAAGAGAAAAAACACCAAACATAATTTATAATGATTTATTTCATTATAAAGAATTTCAGCTTTTCTGTTAATTGATTCATTTTGCTCAGTTGATTGGCACAAATGGGCCCCATACATTGCGTTAGGAAGTGCCAATCTATAACGAGGCTACTCTCTCTCTCTCTTGCTCTCCCTCTGCAGGCAGCACGGAGGAACCTCGGGCTCTGCTCTTGTCCAAGGCCTGCAGAACTGAAGATAAAGACTTCTGCAAAAACGGTGGCGTGTGCATGTACCCCCAAGACAGCGACAAGCCCTCTTGCATGTGAGTGTCTCACACAGGCTATAGGCTCATTGTTTATCCTGAATGTGTTTTAGGTATGACGAGTGCAGAGACACTCAGCCAGCCGCACGTCCTCGCGCGCATGTTGGGTCCTGTTCACCTTTTGGAATGTGCTCACTTATTTGTCTGCAGCTGCCAGTCGTCGTACAGCGGGAAGCGCTGCATGTTTATCATCGGACGCACTCAAACTCGGATTGAGTGGGAGAAACTGATTGGCATCGGTTTTGGGGTATCCGTGCTCATCCTGGTCCTGGCCTTCATCATTTACTGCCTCGCTTCTAAGAGGTGAATATCATATCCGTAGAGCAGTGGGAGAAATATAGTATCATATTGTTTTGTTACCAAGAATACGTTCTCATTCATATGATGTTTTCATCTGCAGGTGTATAAAATCGGCACCGCTCAAACAAATCAGCCCCGCCTGAGTCGTCGTCGTGACCCCCTGTACCCCATCATCATCATCATCATCGTTATGAAACAGAAATATTACTATTTATTGTATTACAGAAATTAACTTATTGACAGTGCACAATTTATTTTACCTTTTGTAATTTATGAAAAATGAACGCGTCATTGAATGTTTTGTAGGTTAAAGTTGTATCTATACACACACACTGAATTATTAAATTGTTACTTAAGGAGATGGATATTTTGTCTAAGCATATTCTTTGTTATAGTTGTGTTTTGGAATATAAAATGTAAAACAATAGCAATGGATCCCGAGACGAGCTACACCCTTCATTTAATCCTAAAACACAAATTTGCTGATTTAGATTAAAACATGTAAAACAGCTGTATTCCAGATACCAAACAGTACACATAGACATGAAATGGGTGTTCAGAGGGAGAATAGTGTATTTTGATTAGCCAATACAACTTGTTAAAGTTAATAATGAAGATACTTAAAGTCAGTTTAAAAAAATGGAAAATAAAACACAGACAAAGGATGTAACATCCAACAACTAGAACCAGTGAACATATGTGTGGAAGGAATTGTTTTTATTTTCTATTCAATGTCTTGTACTATCTGGAACCTGAGATATAAAGTTTGAAATAAAGAAAATGGGTAAAAATGCAATGGAAATGAATGTTTCTAATACAATATGTGTAAACCCTCACCAGTATACCCAGCACCAGTAATCTCAGTTTAAACGATAAACTTGTACAGAAACTCATTTCAATACTTCATTTAATATAAATACTTATATTTGAGAAGTCCATTTTTGTTTATATACTTACTAATGAACTATCTTTGAATGACAGAGTTTTGAATATATACATACTTATTTGTAGGTAGACTATAGATTGATATTTGGAAAGTATGCATTTGGTGCATACTGCACTCGGGTTACATTTTAAAGTACTTTTACTGATTTATTTCATTTTACACTCCACCGCTTAGTCTGAAATATTGTGCTGTTGTTGTTTACTGCTCTTCATTTGTCTCTCAGCTGTTTTTATTGGCTAATAAATTCAGATTTCTGAAACAAAACAGTTTATGGAATTGAATGCATTGTAACAGGTTACCAGAAAATAACTAGCAGAATATAAATTATCTCCACCGGCAAACGACTAATATGCTCATTGCATGTTTTTGCTTCAATAAATATGAACACGTTATGCTACACATGATAGCCACAGGGTTTCTTTTTGGTGATATTTTTAACTTGAAGGTACTAAACACTTGGTGGCCTTTGGAGCGTCCCCCATGGCCGAAAAATCAGAAACACAGCGTGCTTTACATATCAATTTTAAGAATTAAAGGGTTGCGAGGAAGCGGCTGGTCCTCTGTGATGTACTGGTTGACGTGGTGCCTTCAGGGCCTGTTCGTGCGAAATGGTGTAAATTACAAAGGTGTGTGTCACCAGCACGCAGGAAGGCGCCTATTGGTCCACAGCTCGTCTGCGTGCTCGGAGAGGAGTCGACCTGCCTCCTTGTCATCCATTGTTATTATTTTTGTTATCATTTTGACAGCACCGAGCCTCCTCCAGTCAGCGCCCCGTCAGTCGGCTCTGAACATGGGGACCCGCAGCGCGTCCGCGCGCCTCTCGCTCCTCGGTGAGTTCCGTTTGCTTTCTACCGGTGCGCGTTCATGCAGTTTAACATACTTATTGTGCACTTTCATGTCAATGTACCCGGCAGTCAAGTACGTAACGTGAGTACAGAGTAATTCTGCGTGTCGCATGGTAATGTTACTTTTCACACGTTCAGTGTGTGTATTTAGCTCGTGGTACTTATTTACTTCAATACTTATACTCGAGTACTGTGGCCCCGCCCCTTTTCTTAGGATCTTCCAGTGTTGGAAGAAGTATTCTCAGATATAAAGTAATAGCAGTCTATATACCAATACTGTGTAACATGTAAAGGCCCTGTATTTCTGAGGTCCTATTCAGAAAAACAATCGAATCATAATACAGCGTGCTATTGTGTTAAATCTATTATCTGGAAAATTGCCATCATGTTATTTTATTCTCTCTTAAATTTCAGAGTGATATGTTGTTCTTTCAACACTACATTTTACTGAAGTTACAAGTCCTACCAAACATCAGCTGATCAAACGTGAAGCAATGTTACAAATTAAAACATCCCAATGTGTCTCTGAGGGTTTAACATTGGTATATTGAATGATGAATGATATTGAATGAAATTATTGCACTAATAAATATAGGCCATGGGTAGAGAGGGTCACCGGGAACCTCAAGGTTGGTGGTTCGAGCCCCGGCTGCTCCATGTCCCATGTTGAAGTGTCCTTGAGCAAGACACCTAACCCCTAATTGCTCCCTGGGCAGAAATGTAAAAAGCCATGGGTTGAAAATGTAATGTAACATGGACCCTGACATACATCAGGGTCCATGAGGCCGGGTAATGATTACTTTTTTGATGCTTTAGAACGTTTATGCAATTTATGGGAAATTCTGGATGTAAGACTTTCTCTTTATGTTGGAGTCTTTTATTTCAATCATTTCTAACCAGCCACGTTAAAATGCTGCTAAACTCGAATAAAAGAATCTGTAGTTATCATTTCTTAAAACTTTGACAATAATTTATTATTGATGCAATTTTACTGCATCGGTTTGAATTCAGCATCATTCGATGTTCAAATAAAACCCCATAATTTAAACACATTTTAAATATATTTTGTGAAAATCATGAGGTTTTTCTTTCGTATTCAAATGTCTTCTTCTATCACTTGAATTAGATGAGTCAGTTATTTGCAGGACATGAGGCCGTTTCTTCACTTCACACGAGTAATTCCAGGATTGAGTTTTTGGAGTCGGGGGGAAGGAATTCCTGTGACGTACGTAGGCGCCGAGCTCAGTGCCCGAGGGGGGCCAAGAGACGCATGGCTTCGTTAAATCCGTCATCCGCTTGTTCCTCACCTTCCTTCTCTTCTCTCTAAAGTGCCACGTAACACACAGAGGCAGCAGTGCACTTTCTGCTGTAATGAAATAATTAGGTTTTTAATAATGATGCATCAATGCAGGTTGAGCTTGTTTAGATGCTTTACAGTTTGGTGGTTTATTCGCTGAGGGCGTTCCCAACCTAAGGGTCGGGCCCCACGAAAGGGTCACAAAATAAATCTGAGATGTTTAATAGAAGAGGAAAAAAGATTGGAAATCTCTGCTGCACATATTTCTATTCATGTGTTGGACTTTTCTCTGCATTAGTTTTCTAATGAGAGCAGGCTGGTCTCATCCATCATCTGTTGCTATACCCACCAAAAAGACTGCATTTGTACATATCGACCAAATCCACATACTCATGAGCCAGGAAGTATAAGGACCACATGCGGGCGATAAGTACAACAAGTACATGTCACATAACTTGACTAATGCAGTGGGTATTTCGACCAAGTTAACATCCATCTTTCCCTCAACCTCACTCAGTATTTCACAATCTTTTATGAATCCGAACCAAGTTGTTTTGTTGCATGAACCTAATTAAGTATTTTACCATATTTCCATTAACCTAGTAACCTAGTAACCATTAACCTAGTAATTACTTTACTATATGTTACGCCAACAAAGTAGAATCTGTTGCTTTACATATGTATTTCATAAACCTTTCCTCAACTCTTACTAAGTATTTAACAATATTTTCCTAAACCTCAGTATTTTGGTTGACTAATCTTAACAAAGTACTTCACAATCTTTTCCTCAACCCGTTTTCGATGATCTTTTCCTAAACCCATCCAAGTACCGTATTGAGTTTTTTTTATGTAAAGACAGAAGTTCATTTTAGTTTTTTTTCTCATGCTTCTGTTCCTGTCTTTGTTTATTTCCAATCTGCACGCCCACATGAGTTCTAGTTATTAACCGGTTATCCATCACGATAAGCGCATACCTGCACTGACTGAGCCTTTTCCTTCCTTTTTATGTGGGTCATTGAAAGCCCTCCTCACCTTTCCCCTACATGTATTGTATCAACCAGTCAGACGAGAATCCTGTTTACTCGTTAATGTGGGAACTGTTGGAAAAATACAGACGCAATTCTCGTCCAAATGACAGTGAGTAGATGAGGTGGGGTGAGTATCGGGGAACGTTGAGGGAGTGACTAATGGTATGAATGAGCTGATTGGACAGGGATATAATTAATGAGACAGAAGCGTCTTTGTTTGGCTCACATGCACTATGTACTTTACACACTCAGCCATGTCAGAGACACCCCACGGCCAGGTGGAGTGCTCGCTCAGAAAACACTGGGAAAATATCGTCTGTAGCCATAACGACAGACTGATGGCCGGGCTTATAGCAAGTAGAACCAGCTCGGTGACCAGCAGACCCGTTTTGCATTGAGCTGCATGTGTTTGTCTCTCTCCAGCCTGCAGGAATGTGGGCGTGTGCAAATGAAGCACATCTTAAAGTTGAGCAGGCTGATACAGGCCCACGTTCTGGTATTTATAACACAAAAACAGTAATCCTATGGTAACAAACTGTAATCTAATATACGGCAACATACCGTATATTACGGTAGGGCGGTAGGGTAAGTTACTAGCGTCGACTGCCAGTAAATTGCAGTTAATTCACAGTAAAATTAGTTCAAGTTTACGGTAACATACAGTAATCCATTATACGGTAACATACTGTATTCTATGGCAGTGTACCATAAAAAAAACTGCAAATTACTGGCATCCACTGCCAGTATTTTACTATTAATTGATTGTTAAGTTCACGCCAATTTACTGTAATGAATTTTACGGTAACATAGTGTAAAAACATTTCTGGTATTATACCGTAAAGTAACGGTAAATTCCTGGCGTCCTTGCTGCCAGTAAGTTACCGATAATTTACGGTGACATTTTTTAGAGTGTATATTAAACAGGAGCAACAGGGCATGACCTTTCAATTTACGACACACTGGGATTCATGATGTTCATTCTAAGACCTGCGAACAATTCCGCTGTTTAGGAACACGTCATAAATCCCACGTAGACTTTTCTTAGGTAGGAACAAGGACAAATAACTGGTATTGGTGAATGAGCCCCAGTATGATTTGTCTTCGGTTCAATCTACGGGATGTGATGGAGGAAGCGTGGTGTGAGACCTGTCATTGTGTACACAAGTATTCAATTAGTATATATCTTATTTTCATTCTGCTTCTAATTTACAATCTGTGGTAAAATCCCATGTCACTTTAACCAAGATGTACAAAAAGCGTTTAAGGGGTCTGTCGGTTCAACTGCGGTAATAAACAGCCATGACAGGGCCCTACAGCGGACTAGTTACATTCAATAGAACGATCTCATGACCTTGAATCCAGTGTAATCAATAAGATTGATGTTGTCTTCAACAGGTGTGATGCTGCTATGGCCGTACGTTCTCCCCCGGAGCGTCTTGTCTAGCCTGCAGGCTGCAGACAGCAGCTCTCCGTCAGCAGGTAGTCCGCAATATATTCCCTGCATTCCTCAACTATGATACATGCGTTCCAAACGCATTATTACAAGTATTGTATTTTATTAAGACAACTGGAAGTGATCTCAGACAGTTTGGGATAATATTCTCCTCATAACAATATGAATATGAAAGAAAACCGGAAACTGGAAAAATACTTGAAAATGTGCGTCATGAGAACTGAAACATACATCACGCTGTGGGATCCAGTCCCTCGAACAGCAGAAAATTAAACAACTCTTTTGATAATAGTTTGAGACACTTTTCAACGTAAATGCATTTGCTGAGTTAATAACAATAATAGTTTGTTGCAGCTCTAATAAAGACTTCCTAAATTTCCTTAAACGGCCCATCCAGTGTCTGAATTCCAGACACAAAACAATGAACAATATATTTACTCTGACGGGATAAAATGTTTGAAATCCAATAGAACACATGTTTTTGCAAATGTTATTTATTTATCACCTTTCAAAACAAAGTTATAAAGGGCTTTGTTCTGGAGAAATATATTAAGCCCTTAAAAAGAAGACGAGATAGTAAAATTAACCCATGTAGGATGGTTTCATTAAGAATTATTTTCATTATGAATGAATCTGCTCGCTATTTTCGTGAATTAATACAAAAGTTTTGTACTTCAAAACATCAGAAGAAGGATCACAGGGAAACATGCCCATCATGATATCTGAGGGCCCCCAACAATGTGATCAAAAGTCCAAAAACATAGAATTAACCCCTACGGAGAAAATCAGTTGAAAGTAAGACCTTGGTGACTCTGGAAGTTTTCGGTTTCCTGTGGAAAACTTTCCCATCTGCTGTCCTGCTCTTTTAGGGCAGGGAGGACAGCGCCCTCATCTGGTGAAGCGGGCCACACAGATGTGCGACAGCACGTTTGACAGCTACTGCATGAATGCGGGCCAGTGCATGCTCCTGGTGGACATCAACGAACACCACTGCAAGTAAGACCTTGTGTGTGTGTGTGTGATTGTGTGAGTGTGCACGCTGGTTTTACTCATCAGGTGTGCGCATGACTCTTTGTCTCTTTGTGTTACAGGTGTGAGAGGGGCTTCTATGGCCCCCGGTGTAGCCAACTGGAGCTGGTGGTTCAGCCATTGGGGGAAGAGCAGATCATTGTCACCATTTTCTGTGTGGTTCTGCTGATTGTGGGTCTGGCCGGACTTCTGTACTTCTTCTACAAATGGTAAGGCTTTAGTTTGAGAATGAATTCAAGTTTTCTGATGAAGGGTAATAACCAATTAGGGCTGACTGAAAGCCCTTTTATTTATATATATATATATATATATATATATATATATATATATATATATATATATGAGAGAGAGAGAGAGAGATTACAAATTCATTAATTAATCACAGATTTTGAAATTAATTAATTATTAAGCGATTAATCGCGATTAAAAGTTTGTTTTTCGAAAGACTAAATCTTACATGTAATTGTAATCACTTTAGAAAGCGTGTATTTCAGACATTGTTGTTTAATGTTACTTCAAACACAAAACTGTGCACATTTGATAACCTTGGAGGGAGAATTCCACCAGGTGGAACATGTTGAACTAGCGACTCTTCCTTCTGTCCTCGTGCACTTTGCTCTCAACTCTCCATCATTTGACGGCTGTGTTTGAAGTGCCAACAAACTCCCGACATTTAGCCATGACGTTTTCCAAGCCACTGTCTTTTAGGGACACAGTGGTGGTCCACAAGGTAGATGATGGAAATAGCCTAGCCGCTAGCTTAGCATAGCAGTGCGCAACATGGTCCGTTTGCCACTCACCCCCCTTCTGTTTGACACGTGGAGGAAACACTCTGCACAGTTCAAAAAGCTCTCTCCATCTTCAAATAACCTTACCGTCACGGCCTCTCCTGTCTAACTGACTGGGCTAGCGGCGGTTTCATTTCCCGGATTAATTTAACTCCAAAAAAAAAAGTAATCGCATAGATTAACGACAGCCCTAACTGAGATATATATGCGATCCCCCCCTTGATGCACCTCTTATGTTCTTTCCTTTTTCTCTTACAGGTATAAGAAAAACAAATTCCAGAAGCGGCAAGGTTACAAAGGAGTCCAGACAGCTTAGACTGTAACAATCTTTATTAATATTAATATAATATAATAATATATTAATATTCTCCAAACGCTAAGCCCCACACCCTCTCTACGACAATATGTGTTTACAGGATTCACGATGTTACAGTGATTTAGCAGTGGAAACAGAAGTTAAAGTGTCACTAGTACAAAACTTATAACTACAACTACTTCTGGCTCTTCTGACATCAAGATTTCAGAAAGCTCTTTCTTTAAGTTCTGCTGGGTTTCAGATCTTGATCTTTTAAATCTGCCAAAACATTGTAACCCTTCATACAGCACGGTCCTATACTGGTTAAACTTGTATTTATTGTTTGCCTTTTGTAGTTATAATGAGGATATGAAATTGCAATTGTTGTCATTAAACTGGCCACTGAGTTTAACAATTATGTATTTTATTATTTGAAGCTTTGTTTTGTCAGAAAGTATTGTTTTTTTTGATAATCTATTTATTTTGAGTATTAAAGTGTACACTGGTACTCTTGTGTTGGTACTCCTCTGTTAGTGCTACAAAAATGAACTTTATTCCGTTTCATTGACTCTGGTTTCTCTTTATGTGACGTCGTTGTCACAGAGGCGAGTCTTCACATTCTTCCTGCAATGTTTTTTCTTAAATGTAAGAGTAAATATTTCTCTTCTTTTATTTATTTTTATTCCAAATGATGTTTTTCCAATGGCAATATCAGCTTTCTAATAAAAAAGATATTAAAGTCAATACATTGCTATCAGCAGCCTGTACTGTCCTTCATTTAAATTAAGACTTACAACTCTGTAAAACTTCTCTGAACTTCACAAAATGAGGATTCTTTCTTGTTCATGTACACAAAAGTTTCCAAATCTCGGTTTCTGAGGAACATTATGTATTGGGTTGCATCTTTACTACAGACTCAACATAAAAACTCTCTGAAGACCTCTGAGGACCACAGGAAACAACAGGACGCCTGAAATTGACTAAATGACTAACAGCGAGGTTTGATTGACAGTTGGCTGTGGCTGTGTGGCTGTGTGAGCCAATACCAACGTTAACAGGCACACCTCTAGTTTTCTTTTAAAAAGCGCACAGTTCAAAAAAAGATCTAGGACGCTCACAGAACTACATGAAATGAAAATGACACGTTAGCCAAAAAAACAGTCAATTGCTTTCATGTGTTATTTTCCTTGTTATTTTTTAAGCGATTAACGGAGAAAGCTTCCAGTCCTCTCCTCTGCTCCAGAGTGGAGTAAACAGCTACTGCCATCAACGAGAGACTATTCCAATGACTGGGGATCCTTCGTAGCTACCAGAAGGTCAAAGTCGCTGCTTATCCAGTGAAACGTCCCAACATGATAGAGTAACATTTTTTACAGACATTGCTTGACGAGGAATCCGTTATCTTGCCTTGACTTTGACTCAAACACCATCATGAGAAAACGTTATTCTGTCCAACACTTCGATAGATTACATTTTGGAACTATTTCAGCTGGCGTGGAGGAAAGATATCAGGAGTTCATTTGATTCACTGACCTGTTCATCCATGAGACATAATAATAGAAGCCGGGAAAGTGTTGACTCTATTACTCCTCAACCTCTGGAAATGTGACAGAAAGTTGTATTTTAAAGGCTTATTGGATGACATTAAAATCACGGGAATCAAAATGACACAATGATTTACTGATGTGACGATGGACGAAAGCATCGGTAATGCTGTAGTGGGTACTGATCCAGCTGTGTCACCGGTATGAATCCTTGGATCCAATTACATCGCAATTGTTAGTATTTAAAGGTTGTATTTTAACGAAAACACGCCACGTCCTTGAATGAACCTTGGCTGAGAATCACATAAATATTTCTATCTAATTTGTGAAAAGCAAGTTATTTCCAAGGATTTATTTGACCACAATTAAAACAAGACAACTATTTGATCGCAAGGTAAAAAGTACACTGAAATAAAGTTATGTTGGTACAGAAAGTCATCGTCTGACCTAATTAATGCTTTGTCCGGTTTCCTGTTAATCTACAACGCCGTTCTGTTCCCTGACCCCTCATTAGAGCTTCAACCGAAGCCAATGGGCCGTTCTCAACACCTGTCCATGTTCTCCAGGCTATATGTGTCACACATAAACGTTAACTCACTTAACGTGAGACATACTTAAAAACACATCAGCATGCGCCTACACACACAAGCACCCACAAATACACCCGCTTAGTGGCTCACATTGGGTTCTATATATGGAGCCTGTGGATAGACGTTCAGGAAACGGTGCGCTAATCTCCATATCCTGTGCTTTCTGTGTAACTGTTGTTACCTAAGTATTGCATAATTAATAGTTGGTCTCTCGTGCAGTGAGTAGCGTGGTTGTAAAAAGCCCCGTTAAGCTGCTTCCCCGTGTGTCATTTAAGAAAACAGACGAGTGCACGATTTGTATTTGCAGCTCAGGGCTGGTTCCTGTTATATTTCCATTGTTATCGTGTAAGCCACGTTAGCATCGTGCTCACAGGGGCCACGATGTGCGCTCGCATTGCAGACGCTCGTGATCCACAGAGGAGGAATTTAACCTCAGTAATCGTTTATGGCGACCAGATGGTCTCCACTTCTCCAGTGAAATATCCCACATTTGTAACACACAATTCTACTAAAATTTGTGCAGACATTGTTTCCCAGAAGAGAAAACTGACTTTTACGCCAACTTCATGTCAAAATTGTAATTTTTCCTGTGTTGTGGTTTTGACAATCAACCCAAACTGTACTTTGTATTTAAAGGGACAGCATGTGCAGCATTTATGGGGATCTACTGACAAAAATGTTTCATAATGTTCATGAATTCACAAGTTCATTCAGTTCTTTTAGGTCATTATCAGGAACGCAACAGAGACTGTGAAAGCCATCATCAGATGACACCAATCAAGGTGATCAACCATAAAAGGGCCAATATAGGGAAGGGCTGAGATAAAATACAAGGGGCTCAATGTTGTTTTAATCCTGCCAGCTACTGAGCTTGATGTAGTTTTGAGGCCATTTCATGCCATGTGTGCAGTTGAGTATATGAGTGCGGCCTTGTGTTTGGCGGCTGTGATGAGGCGCTTCTCTCCAGGCATCCGTCAGACTTTCCACACCTTCATGTCGCACATCCCCAACGACATTACACACAATCCAAACAATTCTATTCCACAGCCGCTGTAAACAAAAGACGTGTCCGAGAGCTTCGGGACGTTGTTGAGATGAGTAGCGAGATACAGAAGTTCTTTGCATTCCACGCAGCTTTTTGTGGGGATTCCCCTGCAGCACCAAGGATGAGACAACTTCAGTGTTCACAAGAACACGACCCAGCACCCCCATGTGGGCCGCGTCCCCATCCGAGCCCCGGGGTCTCCTCTCCTCACATGAGACACTTAAAGAAGCCCTGTTCAGAAACAAAGAGCAGACATGCTGACATGATAGTGACTAGTGAATACACAATATATAATGATATATAATATACAATATGCTGTATATTACAGTCAAATAAATAAAACGTTATTTTTCTTAACACATCGTGAAAACCATTTCTAGAACTTTCTGACCTGATCACCAATTTTATGATCCTTTGTTGATTGTTTTCAATTGACCATCTTTGTACATTGACAATTGCAGCCGTGACTCCTAATTTGTGTGAGTTTATCATTATTAACTCATTTTTTAAATACTTTCTAAAAAACACTAAAAATAAAACACACTAAATGTGTGTGTGTGTGTGTGTGTGTGTGGGTGGGTGGGTGTGTGCGTGCGTGTGTGTTTGTGTGTGTGTGGGTGGGTGTGTGCGTGCGTGTGTGTGTGTGTGTGTGAGAGTGTGTGTGTGTGTGTGTGTGTGTGAGAGTGTGTGTGTGTGTGTGTGTGTATGTGTGGGTGGGTGTGTGCGTGCGTGTGTGTGTTTGTGTGTGTGAGAGTGTGTGTGTGTGTGTGTGAGAGTGTGTGTGTGGGGGTGGGTGGGTGGGTGTGTGTGCGTGTGTGTGTGTGTGTGTGTGTGTGTGGTTGGGTGTATGTTTGTGTGTCACTGATGACTCACATGATTATGGATTAATTCGTGACCATAGAGGGAGACGAGCGGAAGCAATAAACCATTAAAGAAGCAGTGTGGCTTTTAATGGCAATGTTAAAATACATCAGACTGTTTGGGGTCTCGTAAGCCTTGAAGCCTTGTCATGTGTAACAACGTGAGGTTCAAAATGTGTTACTTTGGAATTTAATCATTAGAACCACACACACACACACACACACACACACACACACACACACACACATACACACCCTTCTTTCTCCTTGGAGAGGCAGGCTTTATAAAGGCTGCACCCAGGAGGTAAAGAGAGCAAAGCACCATCTCTGTCAGCTGCACACACACACACTCTCCAACACACTCACACTCGCACGCACAGATCAGCGCAGCACTGCCGTACACACAACACTCTTCCTGGGATATGATCTCTCTTGCCATCACCTGTCTCCTGTGCTCCGGTAAGTCTGGACTCGTCCTTGTATTGTGTGCGCAGAGAGTGTGAACCCACGGATGAATGTGAAGCGGTGTGTGAGGAGCCGGACTAAGAGCAGGAAGGGGGGAGGAAGAAATACGAGGACAGGAGAGAGATCGCCAGGTGTTTCTTTTTCATTTGAGTCAGAAGCAAATGCCAAAAGTCTAAATATTTCAAATAGTTCCTTGGACCTTCGGTGTAGTCTTTTTCCTTGTGGTTCTGGCATGGTGGGAACGATGCATTCAGGTACAGCACAGTTCCTGATCTGGATCTGAAATGCAGAAATGGTTCAATTACAGGCAGCAGCAAACAGAAAAGTCTTTAATCTGGATTTTAAGGAGCGGAGGGACTTTCTGGGACTTTGTTCCAGATTTGTGGAGCTGAAAAACTGGACGCTGCTTCTCCATGTTTGGTTCTGACTCTGGGAACAGAAAGTAGACCCGTCCCAGATGACCTGAGGGTTCGTGGCGGTTCATGTGGTATCAGCAGATCAGAAATGTACTTTGGCCCTAAACCATTCAGTGCTTTATAAACCCACAGCAGGGTTTTGAAGTCAGCTGTTTGTGTGACGGGAAGCCAGTGTAACGACCTGAGAACTGGTTTCAGTGCGAGTAGAGTGTCTAACTCTGAGCTCCCCATGTTTAAAGAGGAATTCAGTCAGATGTGAACCTCCACGATTGGAAGGCCAACTGGAAGTAAATAAGCAACTTGATGGTCCCAGTCACCACAGGGTGATGAGTTCACTTGTTTTATTGATGTCCTCCTATATATTATAATCCTCTTTTCGTCCTCCCCAAAACTGTTCATAGACATATAAACCCACAATAAACTGCCTCACATGATGTAAACTTTGGCCCTGATTGCTCCTCGCCGCCCATCCCGCTCATGTCTCAAAGTAGGTTTGACGTGTTGTCTTTGTCTTTGTGTCCTGTTGGCTTTTCAGTCGTCTGCGGTGCGGTTGGTGCTCAGGGATCTGAGGCCACGTTCTCCGGTGAAGTGACCCGAGTGACCGGGGCTCCGGCCTCCGGGGAGAGCCTCCAGAATCTGCTGAGCGACGATGACGAGCCGGAGGTAGACGAGGAGGTTTCAGGAGAGTTCACCCTTCTTGGTAGGACCATCAACACCTATTTACTTATTTAATCTGGGGTGAAGCTCATATTGTTGATAACTATTTTTCGATCGATATGACAAAACTGATATTGTGTTTCTAGAGAGTCTCCACTTATTTCAGACTAAATTATGTACAATATTTTGTGCAGCCTATTATGAGAGTGAAATATATCCTGTTTGAATTGGCCGATTGAATTTACAAAGTTTTTAATATGAAAGATAAGTTAGATAAGTTTTTAAAATCCCCATAATAAGTTTGTCCAGAACGGCAGCTCTGTGAAAGTTAGTCGGATTGCTCATGTGTGGACATCCCGGTATGTAACTCACACACATCGTAGCTTTAGCAAGAGGGAAAGTCATAACGCCGTTTACGCATCCTTTAGTTATGACAGATTGTCTTAATACGACATTTATCCGATTCTTACACTTCAAGTTTGACAAAGATATTTGACTGTATTTAATTAAAACATATCAGTAATTTACAGCACAATTCAAACAGGATTTTTAATGTCCGTAACCTAGTTGACTTCCAAATAAAGTCCCATGGTGGTCGACAGGGCCTCGCCTACTCCATACTATGCAAAAAACAGACGCTTCTTTAAGTAGTCACAGGGATGTATGAGGAGCCTCAGTCAGAAAAGTCCCCTTAAGTTTAGACTGAATCGATGCCATAAACCACAGCTGCGGTTTCACCTGACGCTTCTCCTGCCACAGAGTCTCATCCCAGCAAGGATGAGAAGAAGAAAAGGAAAGGCAGAGGCAAGAAGAGGAACAAGCAAAAGAGCAAAAGCACGACACCTCTCGGCCCCGTGCACTCGTTCTACACCAGCGGGCACACGTCGACTCTCAGCACCACCCAGGATCCCTGCACCTCCACCCACCTCAGCTTCTGCATTCACGGTTACTGCAAGTACATCGAGGGCCTGCAGGAGCCCGTGTGCATGTGAGTACGGCGTCCGGTCGCCGCGTCGCTTCAACCCCCTAAAACGGAGGCAAAAGGAGTTTAAACCTCCTTCAATCATTTCGGTTCTACGTCTTACGTCAAATCTCTTCACGCCGACCCTCCACTCTGCAGATGTATGAAGGGTTACGACGGGGCGCGCTGTGGGATCCAGTCCCTCGAGACCATCAAGACCAAGTCGGGCCCGATCAACAACACCGAGCAGGTGCAGACGGTCTTAGTGATCATCGCCGTGGTCCTGTCGATCATCAGCTGCACCGCCATCCTGCTCATGACTTGTGCTCAGTGAGTATCCAGGTGGCTCCAAGCCATTGTGCACACCCGTAGACAACCACGTTACACATAGTCTGAACCGTGCTTAGCTTAAAGGTGATTAGCATTCTAATGGCATTGACTATGAATTTGATCAAATAAGAAGAAGTGGGAGACACAGAGGAAAAACCCATCAAGCCCCAGACACGGAAAAGTAAAATTGAGGAATATTTGAAACAATCATGATGTAATAATGTAAAAATATTTGCTTTTCCTCATCAGTTACAAAAGGTAAATCTTATCTTCTTAACTTATTATTCGTAACCTAGATCATCTCATTTTCTTTCTCATGTAGTTCTCAGCTTTCCCAACGAACATTTGTCATATTTCTCACCTCATTCTTGTACATGTATTAAATATCAAATCAAAAAGACACCAAAATGGCACTTTAGTTAATATAGAACAACCCAGTTTCCCTAAATCATACCCTCAATGTCCATTCATGTAGGAAAAGGGGATATACTGCACGTGTCCTAACCAGAAGCTGCATTCAGCAACATCATTATACTGTCTGAGCCCTTTTTGTAAAGCATCATGAATCCAAGGCTCAGTTTGCAATCACTGTGTATAAAATTTCATTTCAAAATGTGACATATAAACCAGATGACAATATAATCTGGTGTTCCTCGCTTTGAAAAGTGGCAACACTTCTGACAATAAAACAGTGGCTTGGGACGAATCCTCTTATTCTCCTCAGGCATTTTAAATATTTTTTTGAGATTACTGAAGCTTAAGCAAAAATGCATGCAGCCCACAAATCTCCACGTAATGTGAACCACCCATCCTGCCCACTCAGCACATTGACACATATAAGAACAACACGCCCTGACACGCCTGCACTGTGCAGATATTGCTCACCGCCTTCTCAAACTGGACTCAAAGACTTCTACACGTCTCATTTTTACTTTTTTATTGCAGGCTTTTCATTTTCCTCCTACACAGTAAGGTGGAAGGATGTGTTACTCATTCATCTGCCAGGCCTTGTTTAGTATAATGGAGCTCCTTGTCGCTCACTGCAAGCCACAGTTCCTTATCAATATGTTATCAAATTACATTTATTGTCGTAAATGTCATTTATTGAGTGTGGAATGAAGTCAAAGTCCACTGGGCCACAAGAAGGACTTAGCAGGTACTTGAGTGGGGAGGCTGAGAGAAAGTAAAACGTAATTCTCTGAATGTGAAATCTCCAATATAACTTCTGACATAAACATCTGAGTATCGAATGACGACCAAAAGCCTTTCAACTCTGATCGTTTTAATACTCGCATGAACGATAATTGGCTTTTTTTTGCTCATATTGAATATCTTTTGTAGTTACAGGTCACATAAAAACTTCCTGGCATCCTACTTAGGAACAGGGACGGAGCAGGAGAAGCTAAAGAAGCCCACAGGGGACGTTGTGGTGTGAGGACGTCAAGTTACGAGGTAGGTTTCACCAAGGTTTTCACTTTAGTCTTCTGACTAATAATTAATATTACAACAAATCAATTCTGGCAACATGCCATTCATAAATAAATCAATATCCCTAAACTTACATTAACAGCTCAGTTAGTCGTAGTCGTATCCAGTGTAGTCCAGCACATGTCAAATGTCCTTGACAGCTTTAGTGTATGAATGTAACCATTCTTACAGAGAATCATTCTCAAAAACTACTCAGCTCTAAACATTCCAATCTTTGATTTCAGTCAGATTCCAACCATGTAATGTTCGCCTAACTAGCTAGTTAAATACAGTTATCAAATATAATCAAAAAGGAATTGTTTTGAAATCCACCACATCTAAATAATTATTAATCAATAAATTGTTAATCAAATTATACTGTAAAACTGGAGTGAAATAATAACAATTTCAAATGAAAACCAATGAATGGAGATAATGTGGCGTTAACGCCTTTTCCGCTGTCACGTGGTGACGCTGCAAGAAGGTCATGCAATCAGGCGCTCCTCTGTTTCCGGTGGTGTAAAGTTTAGTGATTTATTTCTTATTTATTGTAAGTCTCACTTAAGTCCTCAGAGGGCGGCGTAAGGCCTCTCTGCTCACGAGAGCCTTAAGCCAAACAGGAAAGACTGGGCTCAGAGAGTGACAGAAGATCCCTGTTGTTGTCATTCACCACCGCAGCTCGCGTCCCGCAAACAGGGATCCCCACCGGAGGAATTAGCCGGGATTAGCTCTTGGGACGTCCCGGCCTGTCCCGTCGTAAAGAGAAACCACACGCGTGCCGACGTTCCCTCAACCCTGCGTTTCCCTGAGAGGAGCCACGCCGCTGTCCTGAAAGGCCCATTAGTCTGAATCCCCGTCTGAAAATGTCTCACTGGAGCAAAATCCTTTAAGTCCGACAATCCTGCTGAAGAAAAGGCCCATTGCTCAAAAGACACACACGCATGGCACATGGCTAATTATTATTCAGAGTGATGTCATCAGAGCTTCCCAGTCATGATGTTTTTCTCCTATTATGGCCACGACATGACCCGCCCTACTCTGCCTCTCATTGGCTTACCTAGATATTCTTATCCTAACCCTCACCGATGTAACGTATGCCTCAAATAAACAAGTCTGCCTCACACAAACAATGAAGAATTGCAACAACTGTAAATTATTTTGACCTCACAACAGTACAATTGGGCGTTATATTCTCACATACAAACACACCAACTTCATGATCATAATTTCCTTATACCTATTTTATTAATTTGGTAAATATGAACAAAGGACAACATTGCTACAACAAAGTCAATCGGGATAATGACAAAAAGAAATTTGTCAGAAAATTGGACTGATTGTAAACAGTTTGGCTTGATTGTTATTACTTACTTATTTGGTTACTTATTTAGGTTACGCCAAGTGTATAAAGCAAAAATGGTAATAACCAAACCATGGCGAGGGAAGACGTTCAAAGTAGAACGAGCGAGTTAGACGGAAACAAATGCAAACCTATTTCTATTGTTAATTTGTAAGAAGCTTTCTCGATGGCTTACAAAAAATAGTGGTGCTTTTTCGTAATCCGCTCGTGGTTGCTGTCACACTCGTATTGACCTTTGATTGTCCTCCATCTTTCCCCAGCTGGCTGCACCACTCAAAGACGTCTGAGGATCTGAGAAAGTGGCGTGAATGCTTCATTAGATGCTGTGTAAAAAACATAACTTGTTAGAATGTAATTTATTTAGTGTTATTATTTATTGAGTACGTTTGGATATTTGACTATTGCTACACTGTGTTTTTTGGTTTTATTTATATCATTGCTGTTGTTATAGGTCAGAGCGGATGGAATTTGATCACCATTAAAGTGCCTTGGTGTTACGTGAAAGAGTTATTTATTGTTGTGTCTGTTTACATGCCCTTCTGTGGACGTGTTCCTTACCCCTGCCACCCCCTAACGCAAACACCTCGGCCTTTTAACTAAACACAGATGGGAATACCCCTGACGGAAGCTCACTCTGACATCAGGGAGGAATTCAGAGAATCATCAGAACGCAAATAAAGACTTATTAAGACCAACTCCGCTCATCTGCTCCCTTCACTGGTTACCAGTGGCTTCCCAAATGATCATTGAAGACGGTGGAATCTGAGGTTTTTTTGCCATTTCTCTTGGTTACAAACTGTTTCGCCAATTTAGTCTCCTTCTCTGTAGTGTAAGTTTAACATGTAATTTGCCAATGACTTCCGTTAGTTACCTAACAGCTTAACAGTAGCATAACAAACTGGCCCAAAGAACCATATCTGCATCTTTCAACTGATGTCACCAGAAGAAGTCACATAAGATGTTATCGGCCCGATGTTGCCTGTTCTGTCGATTAAGGTGCTCGGTCGAACCCGAGGCACCGTGCAGACAGACACTGCTGACCCCTCGGACTCCGCTGGTTTCCGTCGGCGTCTTACGCCTTCCTGTCCACCATTTTTCCCACAAAACCATGTGACTGCATATGTCTTTCCTAATTACAATAAGTGTAACATTTATTGTCTCTATACATTTTTTCGATCCATTTATCGACCGCCAGAAAGACATATTAAATTAAAAAGAATGTTACTGCCATCACAGACCAACGTCAGCGACGATGATATATTCTTCATTGAGCTTAAGTTGAGTGTTGACTGTGTGACAAAGCAGGGCGCCAACCAGCGCTGTTACCCGCTCTTGCATTGCTTCCTAACTAGATGGTTCGGTGTAAATCCCCCAAAAATCTTTGTTGCATTTATCTATTTACGTACGCAAATTTTTCTACAAGCTGTTTTTTGTAATACATTTAAGTACCACCAGTGGCAGATGTGTTGTTAGCCAAACATTGCTGATGGCTGCAGTTTGAAGCTATGGGGTCAGCGTCACAGAGATCTATTTTATTTTACTGAAGAGTTTTATGGGAGTGATTAGCGCAGAAATATTCAAATACAAAGATAGCTGTGTCCCAGTGTCAATAAATTACAGTTGATTATTTTTCCCACATTAAGGATTAGAATGATGGATAATGTGTATTTGGGGAGAAATTATTCATAGATTCATAGAATAAAAAATGTATCCATACTTAAATTTTATATAATGATGCAAACCATCATTATATCAAATTTAAGTATGGATACATTTTTTATTCAGCATTTTATTCTCAAAGTTTGGTATAATTGGGAACTGCTGGATTTTTATCAGCCTGATATCATCATCATATCTGCTAGAATGACACCTACAGATCAGCAGCTTTCAGACTTTAGAGGTGCTACAGGCATTGTGAGAATCCCTTTTGTTTCTTTCTAAGAGCCATATAGGGTTTTGGGAAATGGATGCTATTCTCTGTGTGTATACTGGATGTGCTATATATACTAATTCATATATTAATATAACTAATATACTAAGTTACTGCTGTCAGGTGTGTAGGGCGGAGAGCCGAACAAAAAATCAGCTCCAAACGTCTATTCCTAACCACCATTCCTTGACCTCTGTGGAAAACGTCACGGGGTCAAGAAAAGATTGTTAGAAGAATTCATGAGAAGTTAAGAAAAGACCATCGCAGTGTTTATGGAATTCCACTTTCACTCGGCTACGTAGTCACGATGCGACGGGAGAGGCGTGTTACTGACGTCAGTCTGCAAGGAATTGTTGGACGGAGTGATGTCCTTTCCTTTCATAAAGCTGAGTAAGGAAGCGTTCCTTTCCTTGGCATTTAGAGGGTTGAAACAGCTCTCATCATGGGGCCACTTGCTCTACTTCTGGCTCATTTCACTCAGTCGGGAAGCTTCCCGAGCAAATTCGACAATTCAAATCCAGCCCATGTGTGTCCCTCGTCTCCGTGTCGGTTCGTCTGCTGTTTCCTGTCCGTCAGTTTATCTCTTGTGATTTGACCTACATATTCCCTAAGTCCTTCCTGAAGGAAATACACATAAGAACTGGGCTCCTTCAACAGTCTTTATTCTCAGAAGTATGATGTAATACCATAACTACAACTCGCTCAGAGCGAGCACACCCTTATCATGCCTAACTTGTGTTTGTAGCTCCCAAGGTTGCCGCTTTTGGCTGCATTGTCTATGCCTCAAACAACATTTCAATTTGATAAGAATGTAAAATCCAGAATACACGTGCACGGTACCAGTCAACAGTTTGGACACACTTTCTCACTGAATAAACATTCACTCTGGTGTGCGTGCATGAGACAGGGATCTCCATTGCAGAAATGGCTATTTAAAAACAATCGTGCAGTCATGCATTTGAAAAAAATACTCGGATATGGGTGTGGTGAGCTTCGGTAGTTTCGCCGGTACTGAGGTGGGCCCCTGAGCTTTTGTGCGTGACCATGGAAACGGAGTAAACAAAAGGGCAGATGCTTGGTCAGTAATTCACTGAGAACTAAAATAAAGGACATGCAGGAATGTCCTGGGTGTGGCAACATTTTCTTTTTTACCGTTACAAGGGAGCGCAAAGGTAAGTACTTTTGTCTTTTCTTTTTGTAATAAATTGTACATTTTTAGCCACACTTATTTCAGCAAAAGGACCCTGGTTTTCCTGCACGTCTTAGTAATGCTCGCTGCATTGCTGCATGGGTGAAAGAGTTTGTCGGACCAACTTTTGGGTCATGACTCAAATATCTCAACGAATATTTGATGGATAGCTGTGATTCGTCTGATATCCGTGTTCTCCAGAGGTTGAATCCTACTGATTTGGGGGATCCCTGACTTCCCTGAGGGAAATTAATCACTGATGGATTGCAGTGAAATTTGGAATAAACATTGTCATATTCTCCTTAATGTGAGCTGCAATAACCTTTGCTCATTAGTAAATATTGCTTTATCAGCCAAACTATATCTTTATACAGTAGTTTGAGCCGAGTGCTATTTAAAAGACCACTTTGCATAAGTACAACCTCACAGAGCAAGTTGGTTGATTTTATACTTCTGCTCGCTATTTAATGTTGAGTCCCTGGGAATAATAAGCATGACTGTGCCATATATATGACCAGTACAAGCGCTTTTTCTTTTATTTATGATACAAACATCAAGTCACATAGCATTTAGCTGTTTATTTTACAGTAAATGGATTAAAAAGGTTGGTTTTGATCTGTTGATGATCTAAAAAGCTACAGTATGACTTTTATTTGTGATTACGTTGTGTAAATCGTCCTGATAACTCCTCCTGCTTATGTCCCTCAATGGGGATCTAAATTCAATGCAGAACATTTTTTTTTTATCTGTTTGTCTATCTATCTTAGATAGACTTATCTTTAGTTCTGTGAAGTGACGTAGCACTCAGTGAAATCTGCTTACTTTAAATGACTTTACTCACTTGATGGAGGAGCTCCACCTAGTGATGCAGCGTGAAAACGTACCAGCAGCGCCACATGCTGCGTCATGGAGGGTGTACGTTCATCAAAAGGCCGAGCCGGCGTCTGTGACAAACCCCACAAGACTTTAAAGTGGAGAGCAAATATTGCAGAGAGACAAACGGGCTCTTTCAACCTCACGGGAGTAAAAGAGAACAAAGACGGACAAAGAAGCTGGTGAATAATCCTTCACAAAAATAACACTGTGTCCACTTTGGTTACATGGGGAAACATGTTCTTTTACTGGATGTGGACACGTTTCATGTGAGTTTGCTGTCAAGGTCTTGCCACTGATGCAACACTTTGCATGTTTCCTGTATGAGGGTCTTCAGAGACACCGTGAGAATTTTTGTCTTGTGGTCGGTTCTGAGTAAGCGCGCGATCTGCAAGGGTTTCTTTGGTTTTTGGTGATTTATTGAGCAGAAAGCGTGAACAACATTGTCATTTTCCCATGTATCAAGCGTTTGAACATCTTGTACATTGCAGGACGACAGACAAACACAAGCTTTTTTATATCACCATTACGGTGAGACATTCAGAGCTAAGACTTTGTCCAAAACCCAAAGAGTCAATTTAGGCTTCTGATGCAGGAAGTGGTGAATCTCTCGGGTTTAACGGTTGCATAATGCCACTTTTGTGTTTTGCTGTTAAACTCTTTGGTGTGTGATAATCGTTTTACCTTTGATCACTGAAATTGTTTAGGTGTAAAAGACGATGTTCAGTGAACAGTCTGTCAGTTTTATGATATTATGTATTTGTAACGCAGAAAAGCCACATTTAGCCTAAATGTTTGAGTGATTTATGCTTGCACGAAATGACAAGACGTCAGCATGTTTTAACTAATGCATGTTTTAACTAATGAGAGGCATGATGGACAATGTCTATGACCTGATGGATTCCTCGTTTTTTTTTAACATAACAGCTTTAGAAAAAATAATGTGAATCTCTTTCGGATATAGGCAAAAGTAGGACAGTAAGGTGGATTTGAAATAAAAACAAAGAAATGCAGAAGTACAGTTATTAACAGTTACTTTTTCATGGTCTTTTTGATCCACTCAAGCATTTTTTCTGACAGGTAAGAGTACACTCCGGGTTTTTTGAGGATGCCACACTCCTTTCCAAAAGACGTGACACCGACTAGAGCTCCATCGCACAAAAGTGGGCCTCCTGAATCCCCCTGGACAGAATACACACAAGACATGTCCTTTGTTATTCACATACATGGCCGTCACACCAGTGGTTTCTGCCTGCAACAATTCTCCAAACGCACTCACCTGACAGGTGTCGACCCTCTTGCTACCGTGCGAGCCGGCACATATCATGCCGAGGGTGATGACGGGTTTTAGGCCGTAATAGTCTGGGGAGTTGCACTTCTCCCGATCGATCACAGTCACGTTGGCGGCCCTCAGGACATCCGACATCGGGCCTTTGTTTTTGATTGTCCCCCATCCGGCCACCCGGCAGCTGGTGCCGGCCGCCGGGTCTTTGGCAACTTCTCCCAACAGGAGAACTTGGACCGTCTTGGTTGGCTTCACCGGTTTTTGGAGCTGAAATTTGAAAAAACTAAATGTTGATTCTGACCTCCCTGTACTTTGCCTTTTTCCCTACAGGCCGAGTTGGAATTCACTGTACATTCCCCTTTGTAGCCTGCTAGACCTTAACCGATCATACCTTTTCTCTGTGACCTGTTCCTTGCTTTCGACACATTGCCTGTTCATGACCTGTTCACGCTGTGGCCCTCACAAAGTGTTGTAGCACTAATAACAAAGCAGTCTCATAAATCGAACATGGTAAATCTTTAAATCTTTTCTGTGTGTAAAAACTAGGCAAAGTTTTGGCAGAGGCAGAATATCTATGTTTCTTTCAAAAGGTTTCATGCAAGAAATGAAAAAGCTAATATTTAGTTCAATAAGTAGCTCAACGTATGTTTCTCAGTCATTGCTTTCCATGTACAGATTGTTGCATATTTGCTTCGTGTACGGTGAAAATAGTGTTAATCCTTCCTTACCTGGAGCAGCATGACATCATTGACATTTTCTGTTGCATCATAGCAAGGATGAGCAAAACTTTTCTTAACCTTGCGGACCTGCCTGTCGTCCTTTTCTTTTTGCTCTTCCTTTATGGAGTGCACCCCAAGAAGCACCTGCTTATTGCTGCAGGAAACAGGGTTTTATTAGCTAGTTTACGATACTCAGAGAGCATACGTCTATGATCAAATTAACTTGATCATGTATATCATGGATATGTACATACATACATAACAAAATGTATGAAGTCGAACTTCACCGAAAAACACCATTTAAATCATAAACTGTTATTTCTCCTGTGTGTTTCTCGCTAGATTGTTTTGGGCATATTAAACAAGTGTTTCCCCAAATGTTTTCCCGAGTGTTCCAGAGCGTATCCTGTCAGTGGTTTTGTGAAGTGACTGATACCTGTCGTATGGTTTTGTTCCATGTATTCATTCATGTTTTTTAAATGTTTTTCCATCTGAATACATATTTGCTGACTCTCTGATCCTCGAGATACAAATACATCCATGTGTAAATGTCAGTGTGCAAAACTGAAAAGATGAGTGAGAACTGAATATTTTTAGGAGAATATATTCGGACATTATAAATGTTTGTTTGTTTTCTATTTAAACTTAAGCTATCATAAGTTCAAGTAAAGAGCAACATAATTTCATCAGTAAGTTTGTGCAGTAAACTTACTGTAACTTTTTGCAGTGGGCTGCAGTGAGGACCCATGATGGGTGGATCAGTATCCCCCCACAGAGCGGGGGATCTATCAGGGCCATGAAAGGCAGCGAGTGGGGCTCCACTTCTGTCCCACCGATGATCTCAGAAGCATGACCTAAAAATTGAACCAGCTTGAACGTCAATGATTCCACAAAACAAAAACAAACTAAAGGAGCCAATAACAGCTGCACTCTGATACTGAATAGATCATTGCTTTGCATCGTGCACGTCAACATGAATGAAGAGGCCTTCACAAAGTCAAAACGACTGCGATATGAAGGACGTGTAACTCACTTGGCTGGACGATGACGACCACACCGGAGATAAAAACAACGAAATCCCTCAGGCGGAACATTTCTTCTTCTCGCTTTCTTTGAGAAACGCAGAAGGATCTGAAAGTCGAATCACACACTTGTCTTTATACGTGGCTGAAAGGATGTGGTCTGACCGGGGAAAGACATGAGTCAGCAGAATGGCCGCAGGTGCAACACGAGGACCCCTTATCTCTGTTTAGAAGCCTTGTGGTGACTGTTTGTTTGTCATTTCCGAGGTATTCATTCGTTATTGGGAGCCTGTGGGGTGTCGCTTGAAGCAGGTCACATCATCAGGGTGCAGACAGAACACTGTGGGTGAGGGCTTCCGATAAGCCCCTCAGGGTACTAACGAGTTGATTACATCATTTCATGATTCAAAGGAAATCCTGAGAGAAGTGGAACATATCAGCCTCCCAATCTCATTGCACCTTCTGTGCAATGTAACCTCTGAAGCAGGGGGTCGGCAAACCTTTTGACTCGCGGGCCACAGTGGGTTCTAAAATTTGACAGAGGGGGCCGGGCAATGAACCGATGGAGTGTTTGTGTGAGCTAACATACATGACATGTAAAAATCATCCTTACATGAAAGGATTTGGCTTTTAACAAGTAGAAGAGCATTTTTTTGCAAAGCAATTTAACAAATTTCACGAACATGAACAATACGAAAACGGAACGTGACTGATCAAACATCATGAAAACATGAACCCCAGAACGCGTGTTCTGGGGTTCATGGCTCCTCTGTACAAGGCAGGACCTGACGTGGAGGACAAGGAGGCCCTCTGGGCACTACTGTAAAAAGGAGACTCCATAGTTCTTAATCTGCAATTGTGTTGTTGTATGACATACTTTTCTTTACTGTTTTCTTAAATTTAATAAACTACAAACTACTAACACATGTATTTATTGTCATTGATTGTATATGACTTTTACTGATAACATAATGCAATACAGCCAGGACAGCCTTACAGAGTCGCGACGCTTTGTGTTGCGTTGCTTCGCATCGCGTCGAGGTCTGTATGATCACAAAATTCAGAGTTTACCCACCTCTAATTTTACCACTACAGCACTGGTCGTATGTGTACTGTAAAGCCCTCTGAGGCAAATTTGTAATTTATACAAAATAAAATGAATTGAATAGAATTGAATATGAGCCATCTCATACATATGAAACACATGGTGGTCCTCTGCAGACTGTGCAACACGCAGGGAAATGTTAGATGTTGAGATGGAAGTAGCCCAGCAGCTTAGCTAGCTAGCTTAGCATAGCAGTGCTTTAAGTGGTCCGTTTGCCACTCACCCCCCCTTCTGTTTCACACGTGGAGTAATTCCTCTGCTCAGTTCTCCGCTGTGTGTCGCACCTCTATTTTATTTTACTTCAATTGCAAAAAGCTTTTCTCCATCTTGATGTAACTGACTGCAGCTAGCGGCCGTTTTGTTTCCGCAGCCAACTTCCGGTTCAAGTAAACAAGCGTACGTCAACCTACGTTCAAATATTTTGTGGCATTATTCTCGGCCACATTAATCGCATAGATTAATGCGTTTATGTTGACAGCCCTAATTTTAATTTAAGGGTTTAGTAGGTCTAAGGCTCACCATCTTAGTCCAGCATTCTAACGCCAACCAAAGCAGAGCCTTATTGTTTTTATAACCCTAAATACTGGACAAACAGATTATGTTCAGATGGTAGCGCAATAGGAAAAATCGGAGGACCACCTATGTGTTATGGTTTGTCCTGTGGGAGACATGAATGCCGATCATGGCCATCCAGCCAATATCCCAGAAAAACAAACAAACAAACGAACGGGCAGCGCAATATAATAATACCGCCACGTCAAGTCCACCACGTTAGTATAACTGTCTCATGTGCAGGGGTGCAGCAAAGAATTCTTCAGTTTCAATGGCCTTTTATAGGGGGGGTTAGATTAGTTAAATTGTATTTTAAATATACTGGAAACAAAAGGCACGTAGTTCAAACACTAAGACATTCATTCAGACAAGAGCGATTTCAACTTCCATGGGGAAGACTGAACAGAAAAGGCCCGGGACTAATGAATTTGGAGCATAAAATTGTGTTTTAATTGGAATAGGCAAAGTACAGTGCTGCTGGAGGGATAATGTATCATTGACTTCTGTATTGAATCAACAGTGTTTTTGTGTTGTTGAACTTGTGGTGGAGGCTCAATAATTAGATGTTGGCGGGGACAGACCGCTCACACTTTGCAGCGTCTCTTCGACACGTCTGTGTCTGCACATTTTAACCAAAATACACTGCATTGAACTGGGGTCTTGTTTCTTTTAATCAAAGGAAGTCTTCACCACAGGTACTTTTGCATGACATGTCTGAAGTCCAGTGTGGCTGCACACTTGAAAGCGAGAAGTGTCGCCGTATACATGTCTCGACATCTTATGACACGTACACTCACCGTGAGAAGTGAACTCGTGCAAAAACACATGCACCTGAAAAACAGAGAATCAAGCCCCCAGAATCTTCAGTGTTTTGATGCTATCTTATACAGTGATAGGAGTTTGTTAACTTTTCATTGTGATGAGCTCAGAACAGGAGATAGACATTATGAATCTTCCACACAATGAAGACCCAGGTCAGACACATGTTACACAGGTCTCCAGAATTCACCATGTTCCACCATGTTGTGTAATTACACGTCCCAGATGTGAAACTGCTGGTCTGCTCCAGCAGAGAAAATCTGAGAGCCCTCAGGGTTTACTGCCAAGTGCAGAACACGTTGAGAATGACCTGAAAAATAAAAATCCCACACGATTTATTATGAACTTTAAATACCTTCTTTCTCTTTGAAAACAGGAGTTGTCTCAATGTGGTTAAGAGAGATCAACCGTGTGAGGAATCAATATGCACATTCAACAGTCACGAAGAAACAGAAGAGGTTTCGGACATTGCAAATTAAAGGGAAGAGCATCATATTGCTTCACACCATCATCAAAATCACAAACATGAAAGTAAACAAAGTGAGAAAGATATTTTAAATGATCTTTTTAGCATGTAAGTGTCTCTCAAAAAAAACTGTCACAAGTCACACCCAGTGACTTTTGAGGTGTCATGGGATACAAATGAGTCAGCACAAAATGACTATTGAATCACTCAGTGATGGATGACGCAGCTGCAGATTGCAACTGTCACACTGACACTGCCTTTGGAAAACTCAGTGTGTGATACATGTGTTCCCACAAGGCTGTCGTGAATGTGATGTAGCTGCAGAAGCATTGCGCTCTCTGACCTGACATCCGGTAGACCGGGCCGAGGGCCGGGAGCACGGGGCACGACCAGCAGCTGACCTGGTGATCAGGAAGGCCGTGACCTGTGACCAGGCACTTCTTCTTCTGGGCCCAGCGCAGAGAACAGATCTGCAATCCGAGTCATAAAGAACAGTCAGTCTCATATGTGAACGCACAGGAATCCGGAGGTCTTGTTGGTAGCGAGGGGTTGTTGAACTGTCCCCTTAATCACCTGAGAATTTGTGTTTGCAGAAGTCACGCAAGTCCCCGAATCGGTGTCCCAGACTCTCAGGTCCCCATCGTTCCATCCGCCTCCTGTGGCGATCATTCCTCTTTGCCACGGACACCAACCCATTGCCTGAGCACAAAAAAGACAAGTAAAACAATATAACAGCTTTGTTTTCATTTCAGAGCCCCCCCTCCATCACTGACCTTAACAGCGCTAGGCTGTCTCATCGTGGAGATTGGCTGACGTGACCATGTGATCCCCGCCATGTCCCCCCCCCAAATGCAGAGAAGGCCCCCTGTGGAGCCACTGGCCAGCCGGTCGCCTCCCGGGGACCACTGGAGGCCGCAGACCTCCTCCGCCTGGACCACGGCGCCCACCAAAGGCTCAGGAGCCCGGGGATCCAGGTGATGGATGCCTCCGAGAGCAGAGCCGCTGTGGTCAAGCGGGTCAACAGTCATTCCTGCATGAGGACTTTTACGCTTCATATTTGTTGGAAAATGTCATGTCAAGAAGGGGGTTTTAGACGAAACAAGACTGTGTCTGTATGGTTTGTACAATAAGTTTGGTATTGATACCGGTTGTGATGCCCTTTATTTTATATATAAACAGAAGCTATGTTTCCATTTGAATGTGGAGATCATTCCTGCTCTGATGGCGTTTGTAGAGTTCAGAATGATGCTGAATTTCTGTGCAACTTTCGTTTTGCGTTCGGACAACACGAACCTGCTGAGTAAGTGCTGGTTCCAGGAAAGCCCTCTAACCACGGAAAGATGTGACGGCAGACACCTCATGTTTCGCTTGTGTTCGACATCCCACAGCTACCAAAGTCAGAGAGAGAGAGAGAGAGAGAGACCAGTAACCAGTCATTCTGCTGACATTACCCCCCTCCAGCCCCATACCGCACGTTTACATGAATCAGTCCCACCCTCCCCGCTCTTTTCACGCCACCTGTATCTCTCCTTGCCGGGTCCCGATGCAGAGGACGCCGCCGTCCCTGCTCCAGCTCAGGCAGGAGATGGACGGCGCCCGATGGCGCGCCAGTCCCGGTTGTGGACTCGGGTCCAAAGATCCCGCCAGAGCCCCAGTTTGTGAATTCCACAGGTAGACCGAAGAGCCCAGCGCTAACGCGAGCACACCTTCACAACTGCAGTCGAGAAGGTGAGTATCTGGAAAGGAGAGCAATGGAAACGACAGAGAGCGTCCTGAGTCAAGTCTGGACAAACTGTGCCGTCATGTTTGTCCCAATCCGACAGCAAGATCTAGAGGCAAGAGCAGGGGTCATGTGACTACAACGATAACAGTCCCTAACACACACCCCACAACCAGCAGACAAATTTGACCAGAAGCTAAAAGTTTTTTTTTTTTAAATGTTTCATATTTTTTGTTTATTGTTAAAGCTGGAAGCTCTAAATCCTGTTTTCCGTCTCCACTATAGTACCCATAGACTTGCATACTGCATATTATAATTAGGGCTGTCAACAATAACGCGTTAATCTATGCGATTAATGTGGCCGGGACTAAAAGATTTTAACGCAGTTAACGCAACTTTGTTTACTTCCGGTGTGCCGGATGTAAACGAAACCGCCGCTAGCTACAGTGAGTTAGATGGGAGAGAGCAGGTCGGTAGCTGAAGAGGAAGAGAGTGCTTTGCATTGCAAGGAAAACAAACGCAGAGGAATTCCATCACGTGTCAAACAGAAGAGGAGTGAGTGGCAAACGGAGCACTTTAGGCACCGCTAGGCTAAGCTAGCAGAGGACCACTACTGTGTCAAAAACAACCAAACCAATCGCAATTAATGTATTTCAAAATGTGCGATTAATTCGTTTTTTTTTAATCTATTGACAGCCCGAATCACAATATATATTGTTTATTGTCTCGTTGACCTATGAGAAATGACTTGATTTAAAAAAGCCCAAAGCAAACACAATCTATAGGCCAAGGTAGTGCCCCAACAAATCTACCATTACCTGCAATTTATATTACATTGGCTAAAAACTATACGTTGTCCAGCTGTTTTGGGAAAAGATGCAGTCTTATATAAAAGTTAAACTGTATATTTGTGACACAGACGGGTTAGGCGGACTAACAGCTGTTGGTTTGGTCTCTTTTCATATAGAGATACAGAGATTTGCTTCTTCCTCTCTTACAGTAGTCATTCAGCAGCGACGGTGCCGCCAGCTTCATCACTGACTTTCCCTGCTGCCTTGTTTTTGTTTCGTCCAAGAGAGCAAAGGGCTGCAGAGCACGTCTTCTCTCATCAGTCCCTGTAATGCGAAACACATATTAAACAAAACCCAGTTACGACACATAGAGATGCGACAACTGAAACTCACTGAAACTAAAATGAAATCCTATACTTTGATGGTGTCTTATGAACCGGATCTAATGTGATGATACATAAACAAAACCGCCCCCGGGCCTCGTGCACTCTCTGTTGCTTGGAACCCTTTCTGCAGATGGTTTGGCCCAGGCGTTCTCCTGGTGTGACAAAGTGCAGTACGCTCTACGGCAGGGGTCTTCAACGTTTTTCAGGCCAAGGTCCCCCAAACCGATGGCGAGACGGAGCAGGGACCCCCTATTCTACGGAGTTTGGTCTGCCATCTTTTATTTGTGAGAAAAAAATTGGTTGAAAAAAATAAAGTAAAAAACAATTAAAGAAATATAAAAAAATTGTCTTATCAACCAAAAAGTTCACGAACCCCCTGCAGTACCTCCGCAGACCCCCTGTTGACCTCTGCTCTACGGCTCAATTACACGTTATTTTCGGGGGGGTTACCGTAATAAAAATCATCAAGAATGTGATAAAAAAAAGGAATATGCTGTACCGGCCTGATATGCACCTTCATGTTCTGGAAACGCAGCTTTCCACACCCATCCCTGCAAAAAGAGAAGAAGATTTCCTCTTATAAATCTTAGCATTGCTTTTTCTAGTTTGTTTTGGTCTCAAAAGGTGCAGTTCCTTGAAACAGAATGAGCAAAAAAAACAGATCTGTTGTTTTTGCATCTGTCTGATCGCTGCTTTTCAACTTTGTTATTACTCGGATCATGTGATAAATAAGAGGTACCTGTTGTGGGGTATTTTCTGGTGCGGGCCGTCCCCCGGCAGGAAAGGAGCGTGGTGTGTTTGCTGTCTCTGATTAGGAGAGATGATCACAGAAAACACTTCATCACAAAGTGACAAGGAATGGACACCTGGGTGTTGACATTACGTTTGTTTGGGATGTTTTACGTGCAATGCATTTGGACGCATGTTGTTTTCAGACTTTTTCACATGTTTCTCTTTGCACAACAAAAACTGAAATCATTTTGGATTCATGGGGTGATTTATTCCCCCCCAAAAATGATATATTTCTACTTCAGCGTAACACAATGTACTAACACGTCCATAACACAAGCATTCCTATACCAGTTTTGCCCTCTGATTTTTATATTTTCCGATATTATGCAGTAAAAATACCTAACGTTTTAGATGCCATTTCCAAAAGCCGAATTTTAAAACCCCACCAATAGTTTTGAGTTCTAGATGCCCAAATTCTTCTGGGGAAAGTAAAAATATCATGTTCGAAAACAATGAGCAGATCAATCTGTGTCTTTGTACATTCAATTGTGGGGAAGAACACAAAAATAAAGTTTTTTCTTCCATTTTTAGCTATTATTTATTGATATAGTGTAGCGATACTATATAAAATAGCAACTCGCCATATATGTTGATGTGATTGTGTACTTTGTAACCTGTTAAAACTTAAAATAAAATAAAAAATAGCAACTCATTTGGTGATCTGTGAGATCGCTTTTTGTTTGATGACGTCACACAGGGGTCCGAACAGTACCTCGGTGCCGGCCGTCCCGGGCCGGTTCGCGGATTCTCGGCGGAGAATCCAGCTGCAGCCTCTGGCGGACCGTGTGGAGCTGAAAGCTGGACTCACGCTGCCGCCAAGTGGCCGGCGGGGGTCCCGCTGCCAGCGGGGTGCTGGCGGCGGGACCCCCGCTGGCGCTCCGCCGGATGATCCGCCTCCTGAACCGCTTGTACGAGACGCGATGGGCCTCGATTGGTCCCTGAGGAGAAAAGGGAACGCAAGAAACACACAAAAAGGCTCAATAACCTCAGAAAACAACTGACACAAACTTTACAACTCTACACATTTTAAAAAGCACAACTAGTTATCGAGGTAAATAGCAACACGTCCGGTTAAGACTTTCAAAGCAAAAGCATTGTAATTATTAGTCCAAAGGTCCTGATCTTAAAGGTGCAGTATTTGACCATTTCAATTCATCCTGCATTAAGCCTATTGGTTTGTAGCTACAGCAACACTGTGTGTTAAAGCAGGTTACATACATTCTGCTTTCATATCACAGCTAATTGCATGAGTTGAAGAGTTGAAACTAGATTGAGACAATAAACTCGTGTTTACATTATTTAAAGAGGGAATTCATCAAGAGGAAGAACAATCATTATCTCTTAGACTTTGATGTAAACTGACTAAATCTTCGCAACTGGAGGAGTCGCCTTTACTGTGTACCTGTTACATGCCTCCGACACACGACGTCCCGACATTCATTTGAACTCTACTCTTATTTTGGAGAAGCTCTTGCGCTCAGCTTCCGGGTGTCGCCGACGCGTCCTCGCTAACTTCAGCCAGTCTCTCCCCGGGACTTTCTGCAGGAGGCTCCCGTCTGCCCCCACGGTTCACTCCCCTCGCCTCCGACATGGAGGCCTTAGGGGGCTACCCCGCTAAGTCCAGCAGCCCCAAAGCGCGGACTCTGCGGGTCGTGGTGAGCATGACGGTCGGCGTGGGCTGTTTGCTCCTCCTGCAGACGCAGCTGAATCCGAGGAAACCCGCGGACTTCTACGCGTTCGCGGTGAGGGACGCGAAGGGGAGGCCGGTGTCCCTGGAGAAGTACCGAGGAAAAGTGAGTCCACGTCCCCCGGTTTGCGGAGAAAATGGGTGCAAACTGTTTGTTTTCGGGTTTTTTTTTTTTAGGACGCGCGAGGTGCGCTTCGTTTGGCGGTGGACGCGCACTGACTCCCCCCCCTCCTCGCGTCTCCCCCCTTTCTTTTGACAGGCGTCTTTGGTTGTAAACGTGGCGAGCCGCAGCGAGCAGACGGAGGCGAACTACGTGTCGCTGCAGGAGCTGCACCGGCAGCTGGGCCCCTCTCATTTCAACGTGCTGGCCTTCCCGTGCGGACAGTTCGGGGACACGGAGACCGGCACGAGCCGGGACATCGAGGCCTTCGCCAGGTCCACCTACGGCGTCACCTTTCCGTTCTTCAGCAGGATCAAAATAATGGGCTCGGAGGCTGACCCGGCCTTCAAGTTCCTCACAGGTCGGTATCGAACCCCGAACAGAGAGGGGCAGTGCGCCGTCACGGGGATGAAGGCCCCCAAAATTTAACCCAAAGACATCAGGGATTCTTTGAGGAGGGAACTTGAGCATCTGTCTGGACCGAACTTCTGCCGTCAACAACAAATGTTAGTCTCTCTGAGTCTCCGTAGTACATTTGCGATATTCTATATCATAAAACAGTATTTCACTAACTCCTGTTTTCCCCAAACAAGTCGGACTATGTTTAAAAAATGTAGGTGTAGGTTTTTAACCGTAAACCTACTTGAATATATAAACGCCTCAATTAATCAACCTTCTCTCTTTGTTAAATCAGCATCATTTTCATCTCAGTGGCGTAGCTGCTCCTTGTACCGAACCCTTTTTTTTAAGTTTTAAATTTGCGATCATCTGCTGTAAACCATGGCGCTATCAGGGTGGGAAAGTGATCCGTTATATTGCCGTGATGACAAGACCCTTTTTTGATTTCATCCCATAGTTACCGTATCATCGCTCATCGTATATGGATATAAATTTGATCTATTTCACACTATTATTGATAAAAATGAGTTCAAATGCAACTCAGTCAGTCATGCAATAACCCATCAGAAATAACTTGAGGTTGTTAAATGCTCTGTTAATGAGTTCTCGATGTGTTATGTCCCCAGATTCGGTGCAGAAAACCCCCAAGTGGAACTTCTGGAAGTTCCTGGTGAACCCAGAGGGGAGAGTGGTCCGCTTCTGGCGAACAGACGAGCCCGTGGACAGCGTTCGCCAAGAGGTCACGGCCTTGGTGCGAGAAATCATCCTGAAGAAACGGGTGGAGCTATGATGGTCCGACGAGACAGCGGACGTGCGCCTGTTCGAGTGTGTCCTTTCCTTCTAAAGGAAACCACTGAACTCTGAAGTGTTACAGCCGGCCCGGTGGGTTGGAACACGCTGGAGGAAAAGATTCCACTTCAAGCCCTTGAAGTGCGTGGTAGTGTGTGCGTGTGTGTGTGTGTGTGAGATAGGTAGTGTGTGTGGAGGGGGGTTGTGAGACCTTCCTGCGGTTAATAATGACAATCACAAAGGACGTTCCTCATCATGACCACTGCTGAAGGGTTGTTTAGCCATTAAGGTGTATTATTCACTACAAATGATTAGTTTAATGTGTTCTTTGTATCATCTCTCTGGTGTTTACACTAAAATATCTCATGGAGGAGCATAAACCACTTTGACTGATTTGGCCCAGAATATTCATCCATCCAAAAATAAAATTAAGTCGTGATATAGCTAAGGAGTCGTTTGTTCAGGTTTTAAAAGCTAGAAAAATGCTTGGAGCTAATTAGTTGATGTTTTAATGCAATAAAATGTTTTTGCTGTAGTTGCTAACGCAATTATTTAGCATCTTGTATGCATGGACTGCATAAAGGGAAGAGGACGTAGTCATGGTGATGTCACCTATGGGTTTGTGGACCGACGTTATGAACACTCGACTTTGGTAATCCTGCTGTCGCCATCTTGAGATTTCTCCAATCCGTGGACAGATGTTACCAGTTATTGAAATGTGGGGAAGGGACAAAGCGGCAGCGACCGTTCAATCACAAGAACGCCGTAGGTGAGGAAGCCGCCTCGCTTGTGGGGTTAGATGGACAGCTGGAGGGCAGCAGCAGGTAAGCTGGGGCGCAGAATTGACCAGCTAACAAGACACTGCCTACCAGCCGCCCACATGAGGAGAGCTGAAGAACATCTTGTTCAAGCTCCTTGTTGCCCCCAGCTCATTTGAAAATATTGCCCGTGGCCTAAAATGAACTTAAAGAATTGAGCTCCTGTGCAAAACGCTGCTTTTTCTGATGCAAATCTACGAGTCGGAGCATCCGGAGGAATGAGTCATGCACATAAAGGCAAATGTAACTGTTTGGGTAGCAGAGTAGAGTGAGCTGGCACAAGAAACCTCAGCTAACGTTACACTGCCGCCCAACCAGTCACCGCACAGAGGACAAGGTTGGACCGAATGTCCAATCCAAAAGGTTAACCACCAAAATATAAACAAGCTATTTTATTCTATTTTTCCTTTTACCTGTTGTACTATGGATCGACCCAGACTGTTGCTATGAGTTGCCACAGCAACGCCTGTCGAGAAAACATAACCCAACAATGTCAATTACCAGCGCCGAAGGTAAGACGTTGAAATATATCTGAATTTTGGGTAAACTGTCTTTTTTTAATGCTTGCCTCATTTACTATTTCCTCTCCTGACTGTATTTCTGGGGTGAGTGACAGGCGGAGAGGTGAGTTCAGTAGCAGCAGGGAGGAGTGTAGCTGATAGCTGTCAATCAGATCGCACAGCCAGCAGCAGCACTGCCGCACTGTCACCACCATCAGAGGCCTGACATGGAGGAGGTGGATGCAGCCACTACAACGAACTCTAAAATGCAGACTTCCACCTTTTTCCATCTTTCCTTGAAAGGTTAAAATCTTTCTGCATTATCTTTATATTGCCCTGGTTTTATAAAACGATCAAAGTTCTGCTCATTATAAAACACTTTTGTCATATCGAAGACCTTTAATTTGAAAATACTTTTTACTCAACCGACCTCATTTAAATGGTCTTATTTGAATAAACCCTCATTAAGGAAGTCAGCCATGTGTTTAGAGAGTAAACAGCGTGGTGAATACAAAGCTATAAAGCTTGTCTTTTAATCTTTTTCTCAGTATTACTCGATAAATGTCTTACCCAGTCGTTTGCTGGTCCTTCTGCCAGGTTCATCTCCACCTTCCATGACTTGGTCATGACCGGTTCCCCCGTCGTCTGCTCGCCCGGACGCACTCGGCTCCATAAATACTCTCCATCGGGCGGACGGCGGAGCGGGAAGACTCGTTGTCTGCTCTGCTATTGGTGCTTTGTCTCTTTTTTTTTTTAATTAACTCGTCCTTCACTCGGATTCTCTCCGCGTCCTGGTTTCTAAGGGAAACAAATAGAAAAAAAGAAAGCGCAAGAGCACCGCGGTAATGTTTTAAAGGCGGAGGCGGCAACATGTTACCGGTGCATGATTGAATCTTTTAACTGACAGGCTGTTTAAACAATTAAACATCTATATAAAAACATACATACATATTTTTAATGAATTGCAATAGAATATGACATTGTGCGTAAAGTTTTTAATTTGAGTCATTAGATACAATATTTGTATTGTAACAAAAACAATATACAAACTAAATCAATTGAAGGATTGTATATTTTTTATTTATTTAACGTAAGTAAAGTATGTGTTACATTTATACAGCGCTTACACTATAACTAAAAACCAACGCAAAAGACATATTGCTATAAAGTGTTTTGAGTGTTTGCGGATAACCTCGTCTGGAGGACGAGCTGTGGCGCTAAGTGGGCCGAATGGGCACGAGCGGCGCACGTTCGCGCCACCTGCCACGTCCATATGTGCTCGCTCAACACGGCCTCGAGCCCGCGACAGGGCGACAGGTGCGCGCTCTCAGAGGCCACATCGGTAACAACAAAGGGCCACGCTGCACCTGTAACGCGTTCAAATGAGCAGGGTCCCCTAAATTATAGTCTATCCGTGTTTCACCTTATGATTCTACCAGAGGGAGACTTCCTGTCCACGACCTCCTGCCATTGAGTGGCTTATTCTTCTTCACTGTTTCTGGCCATCTCATGCTTTCCCCATTCATTACTTTTTAAAAAGTGGTTTATTCCTTAAACGATTGTGGCTTTTCTTCAAACGTCTCACTTGTAAAAGAAAAAGTCTCAAATAAAATGCAGACTAGGTGTAAGTGATATGTACCCAGAGGTCTTTCTAGCAGCACAGTAGGCTACTAATGATTGTGGGGTTTTTTTTACTCTTTTCCCGCGGGGCTCAGTCTGGTTTGCAGCCTCCCTGGAGGTTTGGCTTTCGTCACCTTAGTAACTCATTGTCTCCGTGCCCTCCGCCCCCTCTCCCTTTCCCGCATTGTCCCCCCGCAGTTTGGCGGTACCTTAACCGGTCAATTGTGTCACGAGCAGCCTAGGATTTGTTTGCAGAAAAGGTGTCCGTGAAGGTTTGGGCGATGGACAAAGCGGCCTGCTGGATTCATACGTTGGCAGCAGGAAGTTAAGGGTCTAAACCGCAATGCCAGTTGTTCTGGTTCAGTAAAATGAACAATATGTTCTCCCTTGCGATGCATTTTGACTAGTTACTTTGCATTGTGTCTTGGTAAATCTTAGTTGTCTCAAAATATTTCCTCAACAATGAGCAATCACGTGTGAAATGATCAGAATATTTCCAATTTACATGGAAATGCTTTGTGTACTGGGAGAAGAAATTAGTTTTGTTCATCAGGGAGGTTTTTTGGCATGGATGCTATTTTGAGGTAAATTGTACTTACTACTTTTGCTTACTTTACATGGACATGCAGATGTACATTTTTTCAATTTGTACATGTAATGTTTATTACAACACAAATATTACTAGATAATAATACTAGATACAGATGTGCATATCATTTTTTCTGTATACCAGTATTTTCCCGGCAAACATACAGTTTGACAAACTGTTGAAGTGGCAATCTAACAACCTCAATACATCATACACAACTGAAATGTTTGTGCAGTAAGCTGTCAGTTATATGAACAAAGCATGAGGAAAACATTTTGTATACTGGAAACAGGGTTGAAAACACCGTAACATTTTGAGGAACGCTCTCACAAGAAAACACTTTTCATTTTGGTGCCTCATTTCCTGACTTGGTTTTAGAGCAATGGTTACTACATTTTTCCATATATGCAATGCATGTGATGTCCCATTAAATAATGGTTGGATGGAGGATGGATGTATGGATGGAAGGATGGACAGGATGACCCATGGGTGAAGGGACTGGTGGATGGATGGGTGGATGGTGGTTGATGGATGCTAAACATAAATAGATCAATTGATGGAGAAATGATTGATCGATGGATGGATCCATGAAGGCATGATGGAGGGGTAATGGGTAGATAGACGGACGGATGAAACGGTGGAGACGGATGTATACGTACTAACAGGTCTGTGTTTGTCAGACCTGCATCTCCTTATCAGGCCATTTATCTTGGTTACGTTGGGGTGACAGGAGCACTAAATGGTGTCGCGGCGCTGCCTTCCCTGCTCTAGATAAAACCGGTTTCAGCAGTTTAAACTGGGGTACAACCTGAGGTTCATCATTGTCCCGTCTGGCCCACCTCAAATAAACCCACCGCTTAAGCCCTCAGCACTGAGGTTCAAGGAAGATTACGTGAAAAACACACAAATATAAATTCCATCATTCTATCACTTTTCAAAGTAACTTGTAAAAATCTTATTTGTATTCGGCCTGAAAAAAATGAACATTTCATTTTCCAAAACCAAGGATCTAAACAAGGATGTTCGCCATGCATCATGACTCATTGCCCCGGTTCAGCACACGGTCACTCAGACGGAGACAAAAGGGAAGGAAGTCCCTGTTCTTTTAAAGTCGGGTCACAAGGTGACATTTGTTTTGCTGCTGCAAACAACACAACTTCTTAACAAAAAGCACTCCAACACAGTTTAAAAAAAACATAACTTTTATTTTCCCCCAAGACAAATCGTTTGGTCGTGAGGATAAACCTGACGGTGCTCCATTGTTTGGCAGGATCATTACATTTCGAGGCCTGTAAACAGAAACACAATGAAAAGTGGCAGTGTCATTTCCTTTTGTCAGGTGCCACCTCTGACTGATCAGCTCACGGGCTACCTGGGGAAGATCGCTGAATCATTTACAGATGTCCCTATAGATCTGTTTGTTAAGCATCAACACCCGCTGCCCACCCACACCTCCTCCCAAACAGCCGAGCCGTCCGCCGAGCCCAACTTTCAGCTGTGGTCAGGAACCCAGCGGAAGCGGTACCCTCCTTGCTGAGTCCTGGAGGTGAAGGCCCGTCCGTGAGGCAACACCCGCGTCCTCATGGTGCAGTGCTCTCGAACGCAAGTCCTGAAGGACGAGACGCTCTGGTCGGGCGCTGCTCCGTCCGCCGCCAAGCTGCCGGAGAAGCAGGTCTGCAGGCCCGAGAATGTGCCGTGCATGCGTATGGTCTCTGCTTCCCGCGGGGGTCCCGTCCCTGCATCAGCGCCGTGCAGGACGGCGTTGCAGCGCGTGCTGATGTCCCTCAGCATGTCCTCCACTGAGTCGGAGGGCTCCGTTTCGTATCCTTCATCAAGTCGCTGCCGCTTGCAGGGACTGAGGGAAGTTCTGTCGCTGCCCGGCATCGGTGGCTCGCTCACGTCTGCGACTGTCAGCAGTTTCTGAAGACCAACAGACATAGAGGTTGATTAGTGAGTTCGGATCATACGTGAGTGTGTCTGTTCGACTGTGCGTTGGTCTCGGTCATGGACTCACTTCGAGCACCGAGGCGAGATGCTTGGCGCGGCTGGCCAGCTGCCTGAGGGGAAGGCTCCTCTCCTGGAGGCAGTGGATCTCTTCCTGTCGGCGCAGTAGAGTCTCATGGAGCTGCAGACACACAGAGACACCAGTCCTTTACCCTCACCCAACGGCACAACTCATTGTTTGTGTTTAGACACATGGGTGATTTTAAATGTGGCCATGCTCCCCTCGTATTACAATCGCAAACTTCACCTAAATTGGAACCACAATTTCACATTTTACTTTTTGATACCCTCGATACCCTCAAGTGAGAACACCTTTCAATCAAAACTGGGTTAAATTTTTTCTCCCCGTGTCTGCGTGGGTTCTCTCCGGGTACTCCGGCTTCCCCCCTGCTTTGGGAATTAGGTTAATTGGTAACTCTAAATTGCCCGTAGGTGTGTGAATGTGAATGGTCGTTTGTCTCTGTGTAGCTCTGCGATTGGCTGCCGACCAGTCCAGGGTGAACCCCGTCTATCGCCCGAAGTGGGCTGGGATGGACTCCAGCCGGATAAGCGGTTTGATGATGGATGGATGGGTTAAATGGGACATTTTGTCCTAATTTCCAGGTTACTTGTTTTTTTGGTGCTTACTATGATTTAATGTTAGAACAATACATTCTTTTTCAAATGATTGTCAGAATATTTCACCAGAATTTATTTGCAGGCGCAGCATCAATGTTTACTTTCTGTCCACTGATGCCATTCACATGAAATCTGTCATTTAGACTCGTCCAAACATATGAGACTCACTGTCATAATAGTCTGGATTAATAAATAAAAAATGTTGAAATTTTGTTCATTGGCACTGCGGGGAGGATTTACCTGATTGTTGACTTCGATGTGATCTCCCAGCGCCCCGCCCTGGTACTGAGCGATGGCCTGCCAATGAGCTCCCTCTTGGACACATGGAAGGCCTGCTCCTGTGGAACAGTGAACCAGATCGGGCCCAGAAGAGAAAGACCGCTCAGTGGTGAGGAGGGGAAGGACGCATCCTTGGAATGGTACAAGCTCAGCTGGAGACAGATTGCTCTCCAGCGTGGCAGGAGAATCTGACAGAGGAGACAAACACTCCATGGTTTAGTCTCTTTTTTTAGACGTTCTATCATTATTATTAATACTATTATGATTGCTCTTCCATGTAAATGTTTGCATCTCCCCAGCAGAAGACTTGCTTTGCGTCACTTACCTGCCATGAAATCCAGCACATAATCTCCAAAATCTTGGTCATCTCCATCAGAATCGTTCACCTGAGGGCGAGTCATGAGATTAAAGGATATCCACATTAACGCATCGAAGCCAAAATGGAAATCATAACTCCCCCAAACCTGGCAGTCCCACCACGACCAAGGGGCGCGATGTGGCTCTGTGGCAGCAAACCTCTGGGTGCTCATTTCAGTGAAGTGCGTCGTCGCGTGAGTGCGTATTTTTTTTGGACGTATAGTGCGCCAAAGACGTGGCTCGTGGACCAAAACGGGGGAGGTCCCGCCAATTAGCAGGAGCCTTGGCGTGTCACGAGTAAACCACGATCTCATTCGTAGTGAATTCCAGCACATCGCGTCAAACATTAACCCTCAGTGGCGCCATATCATCTCATCTCATCATATCTCTATCTTTCTCTCTCTCTCTCTCTCTCTCTCTCTCTGGCATGTGGTGACACATGCGCGTATGTGTCACCGCGCATACATGACCCGTCGTATTATCAAAAATACATACTACCACTGATTTTTTTTAAACGTACCTGAGAGTTAAGTGAGTCGCTCTCCCGTCTCACCAAAGACGCGCAGTCCTCCAAATCGTCCCACGCGATTGTGGGAAAAGCTGCAACGCAATGTGATGTGCATGCGTTAGAATGCGTTTAGTGTTGAGCTCTCTACTTTAGATTAGTGTGCGTAAGACAATTTCAGAGCTTGTGCATATACCTTGCTCAATGACGCACGGGAGGTCAACGTACACACTGACCGGGCTGCTGCTCCTTGGCACCAGCGTGTCCTGCAGGTAGAGGATCTGTTAACGTCGCTACACGGAGCTGCATCATGCGCATCATGGGCAAGAGAAAGGGTGTCATACCTTGGCTTTTCCCACAGTCCTCCTCCCCTCTTGGTAGGGGCGCACATTGCCAAACACGTGCCTGTCTCTTTGCAGCTCTGTTCGCTCCATTCTGACTGCAGGACAGAATGTACCACTGTTGGACACTGAGCTGATTTATAGACGGGATTGTCCCGGCCTGTGCCTCTCCATGCCGCGGCCCCGGCACCAATCAAATGCACTTAAACGGTCTCCAGGGAGCGACGGGCGTCCTCGGAGACGAAAATTGGTGCAGGCAAACGTTTTTTCGTCGTTTGACGTGTGAAGTGGTACCGCGCACAACCGCGCCATTACAGCAGGTGCTTTCTGTGTCAGACGTGTCCACCCCCCCCCCCCGTTCCTCCCGCTTGCGGGCAAATTTTCCCTTTGCGCGCCACCAGAGGCGGATAATAGACTATGTCCTATATGATAAATATTTATCTTTTGTCTCCACTTTCCTCAACCGGCCATGGTTTCCACTGCGTAATTTCTATCCAGCTGTGCGTAAAATACTTGAATTAACATTAGGCCAAGGTCTGTCACTAAGTGGAAAAATAGGAAAAGTGCAGCAGACAGCTCAGTAAACACCGGTGACAAATGGCTCTAGTAAACAAACAAGAGTGAGCCTGGTTGACCCTTAACGTTGAATGCATCTGTGTGGTCGACACTGTGTCAGCAGGCCAAGATGCCACGCGTAATGGATTGTCAGAGAAAGGAAAGTCGACTGACCGAGCTGTGTTGGCACAGGTCACTTGCAAAACACGGTATGAAGATGAGAGTGCAACACAACAGGCCACAAGGTCACTTATAAGGTGAGACATGTGATTATTTATGTTGTTTTCTCTAAAAAGGGATTTTAATCTCATATTTAAATCCGATTTCGGTTTTGTATTTATACCACAGCGGGTTTAGTAAAAAACCTTTCGACCCCTAATCCTGATAACGCAGCTACAGCGCAGCATTCCACATTGTGTGATTTGTCATTCATGTTGTCCGACATGTTTAAAATATTTCACGGAATATTATAACAATAAATCAACAGCCCAACACGAAATCATTTGCTGATTCTTTATTTTATTTTACAATACAGATAATCAATCAATGACAACGAGTGCAAATATTTTACAGGTCCTTCATTAACAGTTAGACATCACGCAAACTTGCAGAATATATCAAACAGAATATATTAATGTACTTGATTATTAAACAAAAATCTTCTGGAAAGTTTCATTCAGTTCATTTTGAGGTATGCAGACTGCGTGGACACCAACCTTCACTTCTTAACATCAGCTCTAAGAGTAAAACCCACGCAAAGTTTAGGGAGGGGTTTGGCCATTTCTAGTCACACGGACATCCCTTCCAGTGAGTCCTGGTTTAATGAAACCAGCAGCCTCAGGCTGTCCCTGCACTCCTGGGCCGGATCGTGGTTGCAGCTCCCTTGACTTAACAGGGGCAGGAAGTGCTCCTTCGCTTCCAGACACTCCACCGCGGGGCGCTCGGGTGACGGGGTGCCCGGATGTTCACGCTCCAGAAGCTCGCCGGCTATCCTGAGCGCGCACCGGGCGGTCAGGGACGGCGGGTATTTGTTGAAAGCATAGTCCGCCAGACTCAACTCGCACACCTTGCGCGCCATGCTACCGCACCGCTCCGGTCTCCTTGCGTCTGGATGTGTGCTCGCAGACCCGCTGCTGCACGGGGTCTCGTCCTTAAACGGCGCTGCGTCGGCGCTGTTGGCGTAATAGTCCAGGAAAAAGGCCAGCGTGGGCGCGGAGAGCCGGAAGTTCAGGCGGAGGAGCACCAGACACTCCAGGTTGCAGAGCTGCTCCTTGGTGAACGCGTCACAGCACAGGTCCAGGAGGTGTCCGATCCGGGGCGAGCATACCTCCACCTTCGTGACCAGGGACAGAAGAAGAGAGAGAGAGAGATTCGCAATGGATGAATGGATGAGATCCAGACCGTCAATCTGGTCACCGGGGCTCCACACGCACCTGTTTGCTGGCCAGGAGGAGCGCAGTGACGCCCAGCAGCTGGAAGCAGTCCGCAGCCACCGGCGTGGCCGCCATGAACCTGTCCACGATGTTCACCGCCAGGCAGCAGCACTCGAAGGACAGGCGGAAGTGTTTGTGGACGGGGATGAGCCAGCTGACGAGCTTACAGCGGGCTTCCGCGGTCAGCTGCGAGTACAGAGCGCACATGAGCATCACATATAAGGATTTTTGTAAATGATACATGTAAGCAATGTATTGTTTCTTTGAGCTAATTTTATGAAAATTGTTTTGATACATTCTCACCTTAAATATATGAATGTTTGAATAAATAACACCTGTCTCGTTCATCTTTCACCTGACACAACATGAGGTGCCTCGGTACCTGGGGCTGGTGTGCCAAGCTTTTGCAGGAATAAAACAGCGCCTCGTTGTCTCTCTGGATCTGGAAACCGACGTCGCCGTACTGGAGGTACCAGTTGGACACCCGTCCCGAGGGACGCTCGTCCGAACGCAGCGGGGACACGTCTACCCGAGCCGGGAGGCCAATCGGGCTGGATCCCAATTCTTCCTCGAAACCGGAATCGCTCAGCTTGGACACGAGGGTCTGCTTTCTGTGCCGCCGCAGGGTCGCGTGCGCTTCTGTCGGAGACCGTTTATAAACGGCATCGGAACCACGCTGTCCCTGCGCAGAGGACACCATGTCTCCGGTAGGTAGCTGTGTATAACTGAGAGCAGCTCCGACCGGCGCCTCCGGGACTTTGGCCCTGGCGGGATGGTGGAGGGAGTTCCATCTGGTCGCATTAGTTTTCCCGGGGTCTTCCGCGCGCTCGCGTAGCGCACCTTTTCCCCCGTCGCCTGGGCAACCGGGGCTAAACAATCACTTGCCCCATGTAGGAATTAATTACCCTAAACCTTGAACCATATGTTAGTTAATTGCTTTCTACGGGCGCGTGGGGGGCTCGGGGGTGGTTAGCACTGTCGTCTCACAGCAAGAAGGTCCTGGGTTCGATTCGACCCAGTGGCCTTTGAGGGTTCCTCCCACAGTCCAGACATGCTCTGGGGATCAGCTTAATTGGGGACACGATGGTTGTGTGGCTCTGCGATTGACTGGCTCCTATTGACTCTACTGACTTTTTTTTTTTTATAGAGCAGCTTAGAGCCCCTGTTGTACTTCTTACCCCGAGAAAACATGAGAAACATTTGTTAAGATGTTTTTATCTGATACTTGTTTTTTGTATAGGTGGTGAATGTGTTTTTGATAGTCTGTTTAGAAAGTCTACACATACATCTCAAAAAGTATGAAGACATCGTGTAAAAATTGTTTCTGTGTTAACCTCGTAATGGACTTAACAAACGGCTGAAAATAGAAAAAAGATTGACTTTCATTGGGGTTATAGATGAATACATATAAACAACATGTAAACCGTTATGTTTTGCCATGACAAATGTGTATTACAATATGCGTCATTGTTTATCCATAGCAATAACATAACACTTTCCCATAATTTTTACTTGACTTTGTTTCAAACGATCACCCAGATGCGGATACAAAATGTTGAATAATTCAACTTGACTGACTTTGCGGGGGGCGGAACATGTACGATGACGTCTACATAACACACTACACTACGTCATCTTTCAAACTCCTGTGCAGGACGGGCGATCATGCCAAGTCAGACCTGAACAAGGCTTCCAGTGTGCCCTCTGCACACGTACAAACGGTATTTCATTGACCTTAATATTCTCTTGGGAAATGTATTGCTAATATTTTACTGATGGCTACATTTAAGCAGCTGCAGCTTGAGCAGCCCGACAAAAAACCCTATGAAATAGGCAGTATCGGTAGCTGTTGCTAGCTGGGTAGCTGTCCTAGCTAATAAGCTAAATACTATTAGCTAACTGTAACGCTAGCTGTTTTAGGATATATGTCACGAGTTAGCTAACTCTACAGTTGAGGGCTAACACTAACTTTATTTTCGTTGACGTCGGGTTAGTTCCACGCGCGAGAAAGTTATACGCCGTTTACTCGCGGAAGAGGAAACATTGAGTTTAGAGACAAATCTGACTGCCGAAGCTAACGTTAGCTAGGTAACGTTAGCTTACGCAAGCGCCGTGCAATAACAAGCTGCCGAAGGAAGCTAGCGTCCAGTTAGCCAGGTAGCTCGAGTCGCAGGGTTACGTTACATATAATTATATATGTATATTATAATATATTAGGGGTCGGATTGGTGATATGAGAAGCACCGACCGTCAATGTTCTAACGCTGCCTATGAAATGTCTGTATTTAGACGTTGTTTGTATAGAACTCACGCTAAACGAAATTGGCTTTCGCTTACACCGAATGGAAACTTAACACAGGATCGATAGAATCAGAGGGTAATGTAGAAGCTGAACAGATACAACTGACGTTAACTTAATTAAAAACACAAACGAACAGACATTCACTTGGAGGGTAGAGGCATTTTTATCGGAAGTGATTTACTGAAGCAGATATAAAATAACTACATAATCCGCATTAGGTAAAACATATAACGTTTTTAAACAAGAAAGGCAGTGTCCAAACACACTTTAATTAATGCAGTTCTTAACTTAAGGTTTTACCTGGTCATGAATGAAATGTTAGTGAGTTTGGAACTATTAATGGAAAGAAAAAGCAAAGCTCCAGCAGACGTTTCAGATATTTTCTTTGACCCCCTCTGGTATCTGGTGCCGAATTCACGGGAGGCACAGTGATCGTTTCCGGGTTACAGTTTGTTTAAGGTTAACCTGAGTGCGCAGAAAACAAATGGAACTAAAATGGAACAACGCTTCAAAGAAAGGGGCAGATGATTCTGTTACCACATAGTTTGTGTGAGCCTGTTTTCATTTTTCATTTCAATATTTCTTCCTGCAGTTTTTGCAAAAGTGAACCATGGAGAACTCTGGCAGGCCTTACCGGGGGAGGCAAGGTGGCAGGGAGAGGGGAACAGGGACGGAGAGGGCCGAAGGCTGGAGGGACCAGGGCCGAGGACAGGGCTACAGATCAGAAGGAGGCCAGCCGGGCAAGAACCAGGGGGGCCCCTACAGGGCCAGTCCCAAGAAAGGGGGGCTGAGTTACTCGCCCGGTGGATTCCGAGGTGGTCACAGCCCCTCGCAGAATGATGACCCCCGGTGGTTCCCGGGTACTGAGAACATTGGTGGGGGTCGAGAAGAGGGTTGGAGAGAGCGCTCCCAGCAGCCCTGGAGGAGGAGCGCACCGGGAGAAGGTCCAATGGAGGACAGGGAGCAGGGGGGGACAGAGGATACTGATGGCAATGCTCATAAATCAGGTGAGGATTGGGGGAAGTGAGGGGGAACTCTTTTTAAGGATTATACCAAATAACAAATGCAAAGTCTGAATGTAAAAACTGGCGGGTTACTTACTCCACCAAAGTCTATTCCACACATATTTACACCTTCCTCCTTCAAAAGGGAGAAGATGGAGAAACAGAAACAAGAATCGCGGTTATGCTGAGGAGAACAGGGGCCCGATCATTGAAGAGTCTACACTGTCAGCCAAAGAGCTTCAAAGCCTTCGGAAAGCAGAGCGGCAGCTTAACAGAGAGGAGATCTACCCACTGAAGAAGGTGTGTGTGACGAGTCCCCAACTATTTAAATAATAAAACCAGAAAGTATGCATATTTATGAAACTTGACGAATCACTGCAGCAATCGACTTTGGCATTCTTTAACTGTTTGCTCATGTGTTTACAGCTCAATTGAATAAGATAAAGCAATCTTTAGATGAACCGATTATGATGATAGGTAGTTGCAGCCTTAATTCGCTCTTACTGACAGAACCTTCTTCCATTGATAATCAGCTTTCTCAGTGCTATGATATTTTATGTTTTCAGTTAAAAAGATATAGCATAACTGCTTAATTACTGAATTTGTGTCTGCACCTGCCTGTTTCTTGGTCCAGAGGTCCCACAGCAACCCCGGAGCCCTTTACACCTGCTCCCTCTGCGACGTCCTGCTGGAGTCTGTGTCGGACGCTTACAGGCACACCCGAGACAAACGGCACAAGAAGAGGGCCAGGGTGAGAACCGTGTCATAACCCCCGTTTGGAAGACGCCGCCATCGCGTAATTGCAGTCTACTGTCTAACCACCAGTGTCCTGAACCCACGTCTGCTTGTTTGCGTTCGTAGGAGATGCAAGAGCAGGCGATGCTGACGGAGATCCTGCCTCCCGGACCGGAGCAGATCGCCGCAGTGAGCGCCGCGCTAGAGGCCGTCGTCCGGGAACACGGGATGAGCGACCAGGATGTAGAGATGAGAAAATCCGTCGTCAGCATGTTGCAAGACCTCCTCCTGTCCGTCCTGCCTGGTAAGCCACTCCCCCTCGCCACCAGGGCCAAAATATGTGCTTGGTGCTGAGATAGATGTCCGATTGATCCAGATGTTGCATCAGTTGACTATCATGTGTTCTTCTGTGAATAAGAATGCTCCATCTTTTGTTTGTAGAGATCAGGCTCAGGCTTTATGGATCGTCTTGCACTAAGTTTGGATTTAAGGATTCTGATGTCAACATTGACATTCAGTATCCATCTCACGTGAGTGATCTTTTTATTGGTTTTCTCACAAACCTCTCTGGGGGGGAAACTGAACAGCTTTTATTTACATGAACATTCAATCTGAGGTTCAGGATAAACCACATTGATGTTTGATATTTAGTTAAAACACTGATGCAATGGCATTCTCTAACATTATATGTATCCTAGTTTCTAACCTCATGACCCTTTGATAAGACTCAACACATTCGTGTCTTTTGATATTGTCTCTGTGTTTCATAACGACTTTGACGTGTTCTTTGTCGTGTTCTCACAGATGCACCAGCCGGACGTGTTGTTGTTGGTGAAGGAGTGTCTCTCAGTCAGCAGTGAGTCACCTCGTAGTCATTCATGTGTCCTCGTCGAAAACAATTCTCAAACAGAATAGTCGAGTCATGTGTCATGGAACTTTCAATCTTAACACGTGATTTTCCCCGCAGCTATTTTTGTGGAAATGGAGGCTGATTTTCATGCTAGGGTGCCTGTGGTCATCTGCAAAGAGAAACAGAGGTGGGTGTTATAACAGGCGATATCTGTTAATAAAACCGTGATTGATAGCAACTCCAGGTTGATCATTAATCGTTTTTTATGGCACCACATGCACAAGAGCAGCTAATGAAGACCGTCCCTTTTCTCCACAGTGGGCTGCTGTGCAAAGTGAGCGCCGGGAATGACAACGCCTTCCAAACCACCTCCTACCTCTCTGCTTTGTCCCGCCGGGAGCCTCTCCTCCTCCCGCTGGTTTTGGGTCTGAGACACTGGGCCCGGGTAGGTTTCCAGTTGAGACACTTTGCATTAAACAATTAGCCAGGCACTCGCAGTATCTTTAATTATTTTATTTGTTTTGGTAAAGCCTCGTTCTTGTTTCCGCTTTAGATCAGCGAGATCGATCGCGCAGAGGAAGGCGGACTGCCTCCATATGTCTTCGCCCTCATGGTTATCTTCTTCTTACAGCAGCGCAAAGAGTCTCTCTTGCCTGCCTACCTGAAACCAGAGGTGTGCCAAACATGAAATATGCAACGCTCATTACAGCTATGATCTGAGGACGGCACTGACCCAATCCTCCATCTTTCTAGATCAAGGTGTTTTCACTCGGCAGGCTGTCTGACTTCAATCTCACGCATGCAGAGGATGGACACGT